GTTTGTGTTTGTTTTGTTTTATTTTTAATTGTTCACGTTGAAGGCGACCACGATATCCGTAATGAAGACGTTCTTTCGGTGTATAATCAACAGTTTCATTTTCATACGAATTCTCATCCAATGTTTCAGATGTTGTTTTGAAATAAAGCCAAACAGGCATGCCTGGTTTAAAACGTTTGCAAACATCATGGGTTTGCAATGGCTTACGAGTTTTATAATAAATATTATCTAAACCTTTTATGTGAAGTGATGTACGCGGATCAGGTTGTTGAGTTTCTTTGCTTTTAGATTCTTTCAATAAAGACATTAATGGACGTAAACCATTGCTAATATGAAGACTTTCTTTATGATGAATACTAAGAATATATTCAGGTTTACGAACATTGGACTTTGTTTCTAATTTTAAATGTAATTTTCTACTTGTTAATTTACTAACATCATCAAATAATTGAAAATTTCGATTAACATGATCCTTACGGCGATTTAAGGGATATTTTTCGATTGGATTAGTAGCCATAGCTAGAACACAATTATTAGAACGGTTTATTTCATCAAATGGTTCAAAGAAAAACGAAATAAAATTTAAAATTATAAAAAATTTTGATTCAATGGATTTATTCTATAGTTTATCAGCGACTTAAACGATAAAAGAACAAATGAAAACTTGGTATCAGCTCCACCGAAAGTGAAGGTATGACCAAAGTGAACATTTCTACTATCAACAAAGTTTTCGTAACGATTTTTATGAAAAATAGATGGCGTAAGTAAACATGTTCAAATAAAGTGTACAAAAATGCAAAATCTGAATTCAATCGGATTATATAGTGATGTATTTATGAAGAATATCTACTTCCAGGTTACAATTAAAAATAATTAGATCAATTAGATCTATAGACACATTAGTTGTTCGAGAAGTTCAATTAGAAAAGTTTTATTTTTTGTAGGACGTCCCAAGAGTGACTGGCCATCAAGAAATTTGAATATCTTATAATCAATCTTGAATCAAATGAACTGGTTTGTTTTTCTTAGGATAAAGGGCAGATACACATTTTTTTTTCATCAAGAAAAAGTTCATTTATAGTCATAGATCCCAGAGATGGGCAAGTCAAGTCATTTTTGACTTGACTTGACTTGTGACTTCCCAGGTCGAACAATCCCACACCAAATCCGATAGAAACTTGATAGTATCCTATCATTCGCAGAATCTTATAGTTTTCCGGGTCGAGGAATTGACGTCGGAACCGATTGAACTTTCAATGACATCCAACGATGTTTCTTTGGAATTCATAGGAATCCGACACTGAGGATCCAACTTCGAATCCTGAACCCGGAATCCGACGATAGGTCTGTAGGGTCCGACAAAATCCGATAAGATCCTACTGGGTGCAAGACGGATCGGATGGGTTCCAATTGGTGTCTACTGTTGGATTGCTTGACCTCGGTTGTTGTGTATAAAAAAAAAAGTCAAGTCAAGTCAAGTCTAAAAATGTATATATTTGAAGATATTTTATTCACTTCAATTTCGATTTTCTAACTTGAAATGCAATGGAAAATAGAAATGAAGATCTGGACATATGCTCAGATATTGAAATTGTGTGAAATAAGATAGTGGCGTTAAAATATGTAGAAATGTTTTTTTCTCAATTTCTATTCGGTGTTTCATTTTCCAACAATTTGTTTCACGAAAATACGTTGTTTCCTTTGTTTTTATAAAAATCTAATTGATGCACAGCTTAGAAAACGATAGTAAAACTATAATATGGATCAAGGAAACAATGTGGTCGGTAAGTTGCTTTTAATTTAAGAAAACTTGATGAAAATCGGATTAAATTCCAACTTGACTTGACTGGAGCCAAAAACTTTTTGACTTCCCCATCTCTGATAGATCCATCAAAATTCCCCTTACCATATAAGTAGTAACACGTTGGGGAAGTTAGCACAAGATTCGAGTTTTTCCAGCCCGGATTCGCCTATATGGTTGTGTTGAATTTCATTTTCGTTGTGTTNGGCTGAAATTACTTCTACAAGATTTTCAGAGAAAGCAGTAATTCCAGGTAAAGTGCCAGATTTTGATCGACAACCCCCTTTAAAAATTACACCATTCGATTCAGCGCAAAATTCTGCATCCAACACAACGAAAATGAAATTCAACACAACCATATAGGCGAATCCGGCTGGAAAAACTCGAATCTTGTGCTAACTTCCCTAACGTGTAGTAACTTTCAATTCATTCAAGAAAATTTCTCATGTGCGAATTATAGTGGGCAACTATGTGCATTTGTAGGAATTTCTATACATAACCAACACAATCCTTATTTTGATAGGAAAATAACGAACGCTATCATCATATTATAGATATAGTTAATGAATTTATTAAATAAAACAGACATTTTCAAATATGCAACAACATCGAATACACTTTCTACTGAATAATATACAAGTTGAAATTACTATCAAACGTTTTTCACAGTATGACAGTTTTGCTCGATTTCTTTTTTAATACTCGTACTCAAAGTAATGCGCTCTAAGTTGATAATCATGAACCTTGAAAAAAATCTCAAAACTGTTCCTTTAACAAACAGAGATGTATCTTTGTTTCTGAATTAGAAAGTGCCAAAAACAGATCAGTTTCAATAAAATAACTGCTTCAAACTTGACTCGCTTTAGCATAGTAAAAGATCGAGAGTCTTCTAGTATACAAAACTATTTCATATACATAAATTTCCAAAAGCTAATACAAAAAAAACTTAATTAATCATACAAGAAAAAACTATTTCACTGTATTTTCCATCCAATTAAAGGATTTTCCTTTAAGTACAAAATTGAAATCTACTTTTGTTTTCTATAAACACTCGTGCATTAATTGCATAATTGTTTTCATAAATATTCTGCTAAACAAAGAATAATTACAGACGAGTTCTCATCGATTTGCCTGTGAATAATCCTATACAAAAACTACGTGCGAGTATTCAGGAGGGTACAGAAGAATTGCTCATACATAAAAAATTGTTCGAGAATTCCCATACGTAATTACAGTGCTTAGCGTCAAGTCTTACTTTTTAGATGGAGCTATTGACATGGGAATTTTCGTAGATATGTATGTCTATCATTGAAAGTAGATCAAGGCACTTCAACTAAATGTATAGTTCATATTCAAGTCGCTCATGATAGATCAATAGATTAGATGTTTTTTTAAACTCATAAAAGAAAAGAAATGTTTTTTGAAGTATGGTCGAACTGATCGAATGCAATCTATGGTCTATCGAAATTGAAAACCCTCGTTTACGACTTGAATAAGTATTAGAAGTTACCATAAACAAAACAAAAACTTGAAAAAAATGTCACGAAAATTCGTCACGATACAATGCTAATTCGATTTTGTTCATTTTATATACCACTGAGATCATAGTAGAATATTTGAAGTTTCACTTTTTATCCATCTTGACCTTTTATCTAGATCTAAATATTTATGTCACGCAAATAAATGTTTAGTTTAGCTATTCTGTCGATATATCTTTAATACAATATTGAAATTGATGATAATCTTTAATTAAAACGAGGCATGATATTTTTCTTCATGCTATAAATATCTTTTAAAAAAAGTAAATTTTGAAATTAAAAGATACTATCTATAGATTCACTGACACCTTTTTAAGTGTCAACTAGAATGTACTTCGTTCTTGTTATTGATATGTTTATATTCTTGTTAGCTTATTATACATAGTAATTTAAGTCTCGAGCAAACTCGATCTAAAATTGGCACTAAGAAAAAAGTAATCATACGAACTATTCTAGCATGAAATAAGCTGTTAACGAAATTGAATTAGCTGAAAAACTTTTCTATAGGTTTTACTGTTTCCAAGTATTACTTGGAAATTAGATTCGACTTCTTGATTGAAGTTCTACTCGAATTCATGTCAGTATTTGCATGAGTATTATATTTGGTTATGCTTCTCATGAGATTTTGTTTTTTGTTCTAAACAATTATTAATTGTAAAAAACAAATAAGTTCGTGTATTCATCTAACAAAATGTCAAATATCTTTTCTAAGCCTATGTGAAATTGACTAAATTCGTCGTTTCCAATTATTGTCGACAATCGATACTTGATCTATAGACTTAAAACACTACTTCGATAACATATTCAATAATTCAAATAGCTTATTAGAAATAAGTTCACTCTATCCGTAGTGTCTTTACTTCTTTCTGTTTTTTTTTCTTCTCAAAAATACTGTCCGAAAAATATGACAGTCTTATGACAGGAAATAGAAAGAACTAATTGCGACAAAGCTGGATATACTTCTCTACTAAATGCATCATTGTAATACGCAATGTTTAGTCATTGAAACTAGTAGAGAATAGAAACTATTGCTAACGATGACTAGAATATGAAGCGTTTTTGACAGAAGATAAAACTTTAAAAAATGTCATAGGTAAATTAGTTAAATAGGATCTGAAGGACAGTATCATTCAGAAAAAAAAACTTGGTCGTTTTTGACAAATGATTTGAATAGAGAATAAATATTACGTTAACAAAAAATATAAACATTAATCTTTCTTTTTTATCTATGAAATATTTTACGATAATTTCTATGTGAAATTATATATTTTTTTAAATATGGTTATTTATTTTATCGATAGTCAATCAGTCACTGAAGAAGAAGAAAAAGAACAATAAATTCATACAAAGAATAAGCGGTTACTTTATATCTAATCGACTAAAATTTATCGAAATTGTTAATTATGATGTATTTTTGAATTATAGTTCTATATTTGTGTAATATGAATCTTTTAAGCAAAACAAATTAGTTGAATTTTCCTTTCTGAATATTAATCATATTTTACTTGAAATTGAATCTTTATTTTGAAAATAAAAGTCTTCTGCAGCTATTCAATAATTTCTCTCAATTCATAAAATACTGATATTCACAACAAAAATGACGAGTTTTCAAACGTTATGAATTTTTGTATAATGTAGGATTTCATACAATGTTTTTCTTTTTATAATCGCCAGTTTCGCTTATCAGAATGAAGATCAGCATCGTCGACGTCATCATTTTTTGAATCAGGTAAATAATCATTCGATGCTTGACGAAAAACGAATCGGCCACGTTTTGATAATGCTTGAAAATGAGGAGCTCTAAGCCATGGAACATTCGACAATTTTCTTGTATGAGGATAATGATATACCTCACCAGCAATGACCGATGATGAAACCATAGATAGAAAAATCGCCATTATGCATAAAGCCACTAAAGTACGTAAATGCATGTCTTTCTTCGAGTTGCAATACAATCAATAATGAACGGATATGTAAGACTGATCTGAAATGAGCAGAGAAAAGAGACGACAAGAAAAAGAACTAGTAATTTAGTAACATGTTTTATATTGGTAGAAATGCTGTTGTTCTATATAGATAATGTCTGGTGGACATATAATCCACTTGGGGATGAACAATGATCATAATGAAGTAGAGAATATAATACTTAAGAATGAATTGAACAGAAAATAAAAGAAACGTTTTGACATATAATAGAATTTAATTAATTAAAGAATATCGATTAAAGAACATAAAACATGTATTTCTAACTAAAATACTGTAGAAAGCATAAAATAAAATTTTTTTCTTAGATATTTTCGTTGGTAAATATTTGTCTAGAAACGGAACAGTTAAATAAATTAACATTCCTAAATCAAATTAAACTCGTCTCAAGAGAAATTTTGTTTTATTAATAGATTATTTTAAGAAATTTTTACTGTTAAATAAGAAAAAAACACATCTATTCGTAAATATAACTAATATGATTTAGAATTCTTTCTCTATCTATACAATTATGTATTTATAACAATCAAATACTTGTCATTAGCAATGGCAATGTTTTATGTATCGCCTAATTTCGATTTATACTTTGAATAGGAGTCATTTGTCGCTCGAAAATACTTAATAACTAATCTTTTGAAAAGTTCTTCGGCATTCTAACTAAAAGAAAGGATGTTGTTACAAAATAAAACAATAACATGTCTTACTACGATTATATATATATATATATATGTAGTTAATATTCTCTTTAATGTGTATTGAATCACATAAAAGACATTTATAGATAATATAGTGTTTGTTACATTATAATGAGTTACATTTGTAATTCACATAGAAATCTTTTCATCACACATGATTATTCAACAATCCGCAGACAATATTTAAGTACTCAAGAGAGAAAGAGTGAAAAATATGTGATAGTTTCATTTCCTTCGATGGACTAATTAGATAGTTATAACAGAGAAAGTGAATCAGTATTTAACTTACCTTTTCTTGTGCACCAGCTACGTGTTAGTTCAATTCTTTTTATTTATTCTGTTTCTTGTCAATTCTGCTGAAGTCTAACAGAGGAAGAAGAAGAACAACAACAATGCGCAAAGTCTACGTTTATTCTATGCAGGAATAACAAATTGGATAGGTCGTTAATATTAATTAGTTTAGTAATTTAGCTATTAATGAACAATGAAAAAATGAATGAAGTATCTCTATGCTGATTTCCTAAATATTATGCACTGATTGATCTGTTTTATTATTGGTTCTGTTTTCGAATTCATTAGAATATGATAAAAATATAATTAAATAATAAATTGTCCTAACTTTGTTCTCCAATGAAATATTTATTTTTTGCAAATAGTTTCATCGTTTTTGTAATGCGCGATAGGTTGAGAAGTAAAACGACTATTTATGATAAACCTTTGTAGTATTATAAAGAAACATTAATCAAAATACTGATTATATTATGGATTGATAAATAATTTTGATTGAAAAACGTTTTATGTACTTAATGCGGATTTTTTGAAAACGTGTCATGCATTATGATTATATTTTCACTGATTGATCATCCTTCGACATGCAGTTAAACGATTTATTACGTTTGACTACTAGTTGTATATATATATATATATTTTTTTTTTTCTATTGGTTTTAATTATTGTTCTAATAAAATATTAAATGAAATGAATATTTATAGGAAATTCATGAAATGAATATTTCATGAGATGCCTAATTCGAATTCGAATATAAATGGATATCCAACTGCATGGTATCAATTCGAGAATAAGTGATAGAAATAGATTTAGTTTTAGATCTATATTTAGTTTAAGATGGAGTGGGTGTAGGTTGAGATGGACTAAGGGGTAACTGTATGTGGTGGTGCGAGTGAGGGGGTTGGTAGGAGGGGTACCCGGAAAGGGCGCTGGGTGGGGGTATCAGGGATACTTCAAATGTGAATGTGGGTGATGGATACCAATGAGGAGCGCTCAAATGTGGGCGCTGGTGAAGGATATATATGTATTCATTTTGTCGCATATATCGGAAAGTTAAACTAAAACTAAATCTATTCTAAGATTTAGTTTTAGTTTAACTTTTTCTTTTCTCCATTTATATTCGAACTCGAATTAGACAACTACTCTTGGCACTAGTGGCGTAGCCAGCAGGTTAGCAATGAGGCAATTGCCACCCAAACCAAATTTTATTGCCATTTAATTTATTTTTAATGTGGGCAATCACCTATTGTTAAAAAATATTAAAACCTGTGTACATTTAAAGATTTAAGGAGTGTTTTATTTCAACACATTTTCTCTTGATGAGATTTAATCAAGTGATTTACAAGAATCAATTTGTAATCTCTTCCAGTTACGGAATGATCACAATAATAATTCATTGATATTATTTATTTATTTTTATTGATGTTCATTATACTAATTTTTGTTCTATTTATGCTTATTCATGCTACTTCTTGTTCTATGTATTGATATTTGTTTATGACTTTTTCGAATAAAATATTCAAATGTATGAAATTGAAGAATACATTCCGAAATATGGGGAAAAAGCAGCGAATTTATCTGTTAATACAGGATGAATAATTTCTCTTCCAGTAAATAACGACTTCTGTAATGCAGATATTTAAAAAAAAGTTATTGCTAACTAGAGTTTTTAATGGCCGCTATTGTCACCCACGAAAAATAATTTAGCTGGTAAATTGTCATCTACTTAAAAGAATCCTGGCTACGCCACTGGTTGACAGTATTTACTTATTGTCATGGGTGGCGCAAGCTAAAGTTTCTTGGGGTAGCAATAAGTTTATTAAACCGATAATGTTTAATCAATTTTCTATGTGCCAAAGAAATAGTTTTGCACCAAATAGCAAACAATAAAAGCAAACCTTTTTACAGAAATTGCTAGAAAAATCGCTTACGGCTTCTACTAGAATATCTATGACTCCAGAATAATAAATTCTAAACATGTCAACTCTTTTTGCTGTTGTATAGATCTTTCATTAACGGTTTGAATGCACACGTGATAATAGAAAATTCGTTGCACATACCTCGCGAAGTAGATTTATTTTGAAAGAAGACTGAAAAATCTTAAGAAAATCAGAATGAAAAAACCTATAATATACGATTCGATACATCTTTATGTCCTCTTTTAAACTGTGAAGACCACAGCTCTCTATCTTGTTCCAATGAAAAGTTACTCAAAAAGTACTCACTTGGCCTTTTTTAATATAATTAGTGCTACTGTCGCATTTTATAGAAAAAGAACAGTTCTTATGCAGGCTTTTTAATTTTGATATTAAGTGAAGATTGATCAAGTGCCGTAGAAAAAAAGAGCATTGTTTTCTCTATCACTATATGAAAAAAGAAAATTGCTTCAAGCTTTCTATACGGAAATACAGTATTAACAACACTACTTTTGGACTGTTCGTAGTACATCATAAAAAAATCGAATTGAATATAAAACAGTGGAAATTAATCAAGAGTTTCTTTGTATCAGGAAAGGAAGCGAAAAAATAGTCTTTGTTTCTCCAACCATGTAATGCAAACCGACATCAAACCTGACACAAATAAATGTCAGACATACACGACGAAAGTAGAGCCTCAGAAGAAAATAAAACAAGGCTCATCGTGTATAAGCGTTCTTCTAGCAATTATCGAAATGTGTATTATTAGGGGTAGCAATAAAAAGTTATTGCTACCCTTAAATTTCCATAGGGGTAGCAATTGATACCCCTCGCATAGCTGGCGCGCCGCATATGACTTATTGCTTGATGTTATGCATATCTTTATTAATTGATTAGACAAAAATACTGATAAATCGTATATGAATAAATATGGGACATGATTTTTATTTATGCTTAATCAAGCAAGAACAGATACTGATGTTAATCTAGACATGAAGTCTTTCCTAGATATTTAAACTTTCGAAAATTCTCATAATAAAAACAAAGTATAATTTAGTAATACATGTCATCGTATACTAGTAATTTTCACAAAGCTTACGCCTCTATTTAGCAGAATTCGTGAGACATCATATTGTTCTACAACATATCTTCATTGTTGATTTTTCTACTTTAATTAATGTGTGTGGACTACGTTTCTATTGATCATGGCTTTCTATGAGAACTAATTTTTATTTCTTTTTCAAGTATCCATAAATTATGGATAAAAATATGTTCTCACATAATCGCGTTGGAAATCTTTGAATATTGACTCTTTGATATTTAATTAATAAAAGGCACTCTCAATATAAATTTTTATTGGCTTCGGAATTATTTTCAATTAAATAGGATTTCATAAAAGAAAAAAAGAACTGAAAAAATTATTTTTTGTTTTGTTTAGCATATTTATCCATCATATCATGTATTTCAACTCCACGACGAACGTCGTCTTCACTATTTTGACGTAATTCTGCTCGAATTCTTTCTAAAATAAGACCATTCCAATGATTCCAAAATGATGTTGAACCTGTGAAACGAATTGAACCGTTAGCGGAACTTAACAGAGCATTTCTTAAATCCTCATTTTGCTGAAACTTTGCCAAATTCCCTTTATACATTTCATCAACTTTAACCGATTCCCAATCAGATCGAATGCTAATTCTTTGTCCAGCTGCCCAAGCTGAGCAACCTGAACCTGAATTTAAAACCATATTGTGATCTGTTTCATTTGTCGTTTTAGCACATTGAAAATAGTTTTCTGCTGATGTATATGTTATTCCATCAATAACAAATTTACATGGCAGAAAATTATCTGTTTCTGGGTGCCGTTCTCCATTTATGTCTGCTGGTCCGCCCATCTGAAACAATAATAACAAGAAGAGTAACAATTAGCAATCAAAAAAGTCCTATTTTAGTTTTTTCTTTAAAAAAACGTCTACATAAAACATTTTGTTCACAAATTAGATGACAAATTTCAGTTTTTAATTGGTTTAAATCAATTAAACGTTGTTGTTTTACATTTTGATAATTCCAATCAATTAAAACAAATTTTAATCGTTTAGCATTGATAACTTTTGCATCAAGAATGTCATCAACACGTTTTGGTGTTCCAATAATAATATTAAATAAGGTTGTTGGCTTTTGTAATAATTCAATTTGCTCCGAAAGCTTTTTGTGTTTAGCAAATAAATAATGAAATGTGAATAAGTTCGATGACGAAGAATTTTTTAAGATTTTTCCTAATTCAATACAGCGTAATGCCGATTGAGCAATAATTAAAACAACAGGTGCTGATGAAAGGTCTGCTTGTTTAGACCATTTTTTTATTGGAACTAATTCATTTAAATATTCTTCAAATGAAATCTTAGATGTTGAAGGTGATGATGCAGATATTGATGAATTAAATATTGAAAGAAGTTCATCAAGTTCATATTGACTTTTCGATTTTTTATAATGAACACGAATTGTTGTTACTAAATCAGAATAAGTTCCTAATTGTCGTTTTGGTAGAGTTCTTTCTTTATTTTTTTTAGTCTTAACCGTTTTTTCAGTTAATTCAGTAGCTTTTGGTTGCGTTTCTTCTTGAAGATAATAATCATCATCACCTAAATCATCAGCCATCTAAAACAATAAAATTTTAAAAAAATTCTTTTCTATAGACTTGAGAGCTCATGAACAAAATGCTACTACTAACGGTAAAGAAAACAAATGCTACCTTGAAGTTCTAATTTAATTTCAATTCGCTATGTTCAAACGGAAGACTTAACTCGTGACACATCTGATTGTGTGAAATATTTCTAATTCATTTGAAAACAATTCGATTGATTGGTTATTAATATTTATCTTCTCATTGATAAGTCAATGCGGCTCATTCAGAACATTGATTTTGTTTTTGAAATACAAGATATTAGATATCTTCTATAGGGTGTATGAATAGGAATAATTCAAAAATAGTAGAGTTCGACTTTTGATTTCTATCTAGAAAACTGATGCTATAGTTTTTAAATATCTCATCATTCATTCTTCTAATCATCACATCATAATGAACTTTCAACAGAAAACTATTCAATGATTAGTTTCTGATAGAACTATGCTGCTATGGATATTTAAATCGAATTTTTAAATCCAATACCGAAACACTGCTTTTATTATCCGACTATACGAGCTGAAAGAATTATTGTTTTTTTTCCATAAGAATCTCGATTGATTGATTCTTGACAATTCACTTTAATATTTTCACAACGATAGCTTTTAATTTTTACTAAAGACATGTATAGAAAGAAATCTCATTCTAGTTTTTTTTCCATTTGCAATTAAGATATTAACAGTACTAATTTTGGATTGTCCTACACTCTGCAAATAGATCTTTGAGATTAAACATGTTGCAAACACTATATGTTGAATGCTACCTATTGCTTAAAATTCTCTAACTTACAACACTGCGTAAATCGCTGATCGATTATTAAAATTCCTGATAAATTACCTTAAGTTATTTTCTTATGTATTGATAACGACAATAAAGTTAATATCAATAAATCTGAAACAACAAAAATATCGATTAACATATAATTATCATATATGAACAACAAAAATAATTCACTAGAATAAATTTGATAACATATCAACCAAATACTACGATAACGAATACTTATTTTCACTCATAATTATCGACTACAATCGATGTAAAATGCTCACTAAAATGTCTCAATAAGACAACATCTATACTGTACGAAACACATTGTGCAATATTTTTGCGAGAATAAATATTGCAATGACTATTTTTCTTTTCTTCTTTTCAATCTGTGAGTAAATCATTCTCATCGCCGGTTCCAGCAATAATTGGTTGAGAAATTTGATCGATTGTTCCATAGTTTCCTTGTTGAATTGATTCACGCGTTGAACTTCGACGAATCTTTGTTGCACTAGGAGGAATATTAAATTCTTCGATGCATGCATTTAAAACCGTTGGAATATAATGCTACAGCAAAAATAAAACAATAATAATCCTATAAAATTCTTTTTATTATCAATGATTACCGATGTTGCATTTTGTTTTTTCTCACGACCTTCCATTTCTTCTAATTCACCTAAATCATCCAATTTTTGGCGATTACCAGGTGTCTATAAATATAATTTCTTATAGACTAAAGAATTGATAAATGTCGAATTCTCAAAAGCGAAAAAAAGAAGCTGCACAAGATAACCAAAATAGATCGATTCTTTAATTCTCCTTGTTTTGAAATATCAGAACTCGTCTCTTAATTAATTATACTTGACAATAGATTACTTTTTATATTCAATTACATTAACTTGATTGCCAGTAGATTAAATACGTTTAACACATAATTATCAGTTATCAAAATCAACATAAATAGATAGACACAAACAGTATATTATAGAATAAACACCCATACAGTTTTTAGAATAATTAGTTATTCGATCTGTCTTCCTTTTTTTCTCTCCAGAAATTATCTTTGCCTAACTTCGATCACATGAAAGATAGAAGTCAGTGTTATCGAAAATCCTACTTGTTCAAATGCATATATCAAAATATTTTTTCACTCGAATCGTTCCGTACTAAATCGATCCAATGTTTAAAAATATGAATTCAAGACTTTCAAAGAAAATAGCTATTCTTATGCAATCAGAGACGAATTCTGAAAACAAAATCAAGGAACAATTAAGAAAAGTCTTTCCATCCCAAAATTATAAATTGTAATACCAAATAGATCGTATTTTTCTATTTCTTACAATGGAGAAGATTTTTTTCAATGATTTGTATCTAATAGAATGTGGCAGAAAAGAAGTGCTGACCTCAGGTAATCCTGCTGTTGAGAATGTTTGTTTATGTGATTTCCAACGACCAAAACAGTCAAAACATGAAAAACCAAAATAAATACCACCTACAAAAACAAATCGATTGGTGTATTTTATTTATTCTAAAATTTAACTTACTTGTCAAAATAAAACTAATCAATAATGTCATTGATAAATAATTTAATGTTTCTAAAATATCGAAATAATTTCTTTATTTGTCCGTATATTTATTACGAACCCGATCGAACAAGTATAAAGAACAATAATGTTAATTGTTGAATAATTAATGCAATTATTATAAAATGTCCTGCTAAACGATGAACACTTTTATCAGCTATTTCAGTATCATAAACAAATACTAAATTATATTTATCAACGGCACGTTTAATAAGCATATAAATTAAACCTATTAAAAGTTACACCGATTAGCATATAGAAAATAATAATTCTATGTGTCTTACCAATTGGTGTAATCAGTGGACAAGCAATAGCATATGCGAGGATGACACAAAATACTGCCGATGTCCAAGCATATTGAACACCAAAACGGAATGGAAATTGAAGAGCCTAAAATTTTGTTATCGATTCAACGTCATCTTAAGAGAAGAAAATTAAAATAATTGTTATACATACATGTCGAATTACACGTCTTTCAGCTGTTGATTTAGCTGTTAGAATTATATAAATGTAAAAGATAAGATCACTTAAACGTAACAATTCAATAGCAGCTCCAATAAATGCTGATGTTATTATATAATTCACAAAAAATGCGCCATTATCCGGTAAAAATACACACCTATCCAAAAACAAAAATAATTTTCGAGATTCATGCATGATTAAAATGTAACGTATAATATAGCTTGTTGTAGTAATCGGAGAAGCTCTCTCTATTTTGAGAAATATTTCTTCATCGTTCTTTTACTTTATCATTCCAATATTCGATTAGAAATTCACTTTTCAACGTAGAGAACACGAATATAAAAACCGTTCTGCTGATCACATGGAGCATTAAAGCAAAGTATTCATTATGAATAGAGACGAATCAAATCTTTCTAAAGCTCTGTCTTGTTGGCATCAATTTATTGCTCAGAAATCCTACAAAATAGATCATTTTTTGTCGGTACTCAACAGAAACTGAGCAATAAAGTATTTGTGCTAGTCTTCAAATCATCTATTATTATAGCAAAAAAATCGAGATATAAGCTTAGTAATTAATTGTTAAAGTCACTATGTATACTTCAAACACTCCTGTTCGATTATGTTCCACAAGAAAACAAAAACCTAATTGAGATTTTTAAACTTACATCCATCGAATTCTACTATTACTTGTAGAATTTTCTTCACTTTTAAAAACCCAACGAAGAAATCCTTCAATACTTGTTAAACCTAATGATGGTAAAATAAGTATCATCATTGTAAGAAAAACAAATAATTTAATCATCATTGATTTATCTAATGCAGATTTTTTCCATTGTTTTTCAAGTAATGATGTTACACTAACAAGTGATGGCATTGCAGCAGCAAATATACGTAATAATAATACTGGCATCACAGATGTTAATATAACTGGAAAATGAATTTGTTTTGCTACTGTTTTTAATGGGTCAATTGAACTATATTTATCAGCTATTTTATCAATTGTACTCATAACAATTGATGGTGTTGTTAAAAATATCATGAAGAATACTAAAATCTACATCATAAATTATTCTTTTAATTATACAATGAAACGTGTTTTTAAATCAAACGTACTGTATTAACAACGAGTATACGAAGCCAATGACTAACTTCACTTATTGGAATGTTTTTCCTGTGAGAAAACTTTTCATAAGAAATACACACTTTTTTTAATGGCAACTATTTACCAAATTATATTTTTTGGGCTAGGTGCAAAATTAACAGTCCAGTCATGAACAACGAGCGATTTACTTGTTGATGTTTTTGGTCGATGATCTGCTTTAAAACATGTTAGTCGAAAATTTGAACGTATCCTATACAGAAAGAGAATTGGATTCATATCGATGTAGAAATAATATAATGAGTTGTGCATCCAATGAAAATATTTCCATTAAAAATAAAATTTATAATTTTTCAGATATTTATTGCTATTTATGTGTTTCTTGTTTTGAAAACAACATGATAATTATGTTATATTGTTATGAATACAATATCTGGAATTAGAATTCTACGGAAAAGATTACTAGCGCCGTCCCTTTGGGACTAAAATGTGGAACTCATATATATATATCTACTTTGAACTCACTAACGAGTAAGACCTTTAAAGAAATCTGATGGATGGGAGTTTGTTTCTTAATCGATACAATACAATATTGATGAAAATAAAAATTGAGGGAATAAAAATTTTAAAAAAATCTACCATTGTGCTTCTTCAGGTGTTGAAAATGTAATAAAAGCTAATTCACATTTTTTTTCTCTAACATGTAAATATTCATCTTCAACACGATGTTTATATGTATTATATAATTTTTCATAATAATCAATTGCATCGATCTATCATAGGAAAAAATGATGTGAAAAATATTTGTTATCTAAGTAAACAAAATTAACCTCTTTTGAAAACCACTAAATAGATATAATTGATTTAATTTAAAAAAAAAAAGAAAATGTTTTCATGTTCTACGTACGCCACACATTTGTCCACATGTATTATTATGAACAACAGGTCGTTTACCACTTTCTTCAAACATTTTTTTACTTTGTTGCCAAATAAGAAGATTAAGTTCACTAAACAACAAATAAAAATTTCTTTAAAAACTTTTATCAGAAGCAAAAGTGGAATTTTACTAACCGGCGTTTATAAACATGTTGTAATTGAGCAATATTATAAACTAACGTTAAATGTGTTATATGAAATGTTGGATATGCTTCACTAAAAGTTTAACGAAGATAAAAATATCCACTATATTTTTTATAACTAACCTAAAATATTCACTCAATTTTTCTTCATCACACGCATATGGGCGAATACCTCTTATCATTAGTGTTCGACTTGCCTAAACATATGCAAATAATGATTTATTCCAAACTTACATTCTATTGATATTTTTTTTCAAATTTACAACAATCTAACTGCTAGAAAATATCTTTGACGATGTGGAGAAAAGGATTGCAATCGACTTTCAACATAGTTTAAACGATATTAAAAACAATTTTAATACAACGACAAGTTATTACATGACAACACGAAACTCTACTTTTTCTTTGGATTCTTCATCTTCGTACTAATCATTGATAAATAACAAATGAAAAATTGACACAAGTACAAGAAAAGTATTATTTTTCTATCATACATACCATATCCTCTGTCGCATAATATTGGGTTGCATTTGTATATAGATAAGCTACAAGAATACCAGCTAATACAAATAATATTGATGCACATGCATGAACCCAGAGTAATGATGAACTTGAAAAGAAAAACCTTGTCTAAAATATCAATGAAGAAAAATAAATGCAATTTACTTCGACGGTAAATTGGCAATAGTTGTATGTGCAAACTTTTGCCCGATTGTTCCTATAAGAACAATTTCTCTATTTGATATTTAATATTATTTTTCTTACCTTGTGTTCCTTGAAAATTAACTGGTAATATAATAGTTAATGAAAAAATTGTCACAAAAACTAAGTAGACAATTAAATAAGTATGGAATAAAAGATAATAGTATGCATCTGGTGAACAATTTTGATAGACATCCCAATCACTAGATCAATAAATGATTAGATATAATAAGTCGACTTTATTGAGCGAAATACCTGATTTTAAATAAATCTCGAATCCACAACCAACGTGTCTAAATCAAAAGAGAAGAATTTATTCGAATCCTTGTCTATTAATAAAAATAGATTTTCAAGAAAGCAGGCTGCTAAGTGCATTATACCACAGGCAATGTTAGAAAGAAGAGGAAAAAAATGTTAGTTTTAGATAGATTATGTATTACCACACAATATCGACGAAAATATGTTTCGTGGACCTGCATATAAATTTAGAAAATTCAGATCATACTTATAATAAAAGAGAGCAACATTTTCGTTGCATGTGAATGCTTATTTCTAGGAAAGCACAAGCAACGAATATTTGATCAATTTTGTTCACAACTTACATTAGAAGTAAAATGCCGTGACTTATTATTTTGACCATAGAGAAGAGTCGATATTCTAAAACAAAAATAAAAGATTTTAGCGAAAAGAACAAAAATAATTTTACTCGGTTTCATCAGCAATATTTTTCGAATCAGAAAATCGGCGACGTAAATAAACGAACAGTAATAAAAGTATCTAAAATAGAAAAAAAGAACAGTCATTTATTTGATTTCTTTCAACTAACATACTGTTGAAACAACCAGATTAACTAGAATGTTTTCTGGAATTCCTTCGTATGATCTTATCAGACCGAAACTAGTGGAATTCAATCGACCATAATATGAACAATCATCTTTCGTAACAGCTGGAGTTTTATCAGCTAACAATGATGATATATTAATTGATGTTGTCATTGTGTTCCTAATGCTAATTTTTCAGATCGTTAAATTGATTTCGATTTGGTATTAATTTGTTTTAGCAAAATAAAAAATACAGATACATTAAAACATGGGCTTGAACATTACGATAATAGCCAAATAAGAGAAATCTAGAAATGATAATTCATTCAACTCTATCAGATAAAAATAGGCTCACAGAAACATGATAAAAAAGACGAGATAAACTCAAAATCATTTATTAATTTTGAATCTACTATTGTACTCGATGATACTTCTTGCTCATTAATTAACAAACATTTTCAAAAACGAATTGTCAATTATTCTAAAATAATATGATCATATCAATGAAAGAAAGTAATTTGACAAAATAATAAAATTGAAAATTCATCTTTCAGATTCAGAGATCAGTACAGACGTTAATTATTGGGTAAGACCTCTCCCAGTGAGTAATATATATATATATATATTGCTTCCTTGTCGCTGATGCAACTTCAACACACTAGTGACATCTTGCATGATACAAGTTATATTTTGAACACGTATCTGAAAATATGAAAAGGAGATGCGTCGTTTTCAACAGAAATCGGTCCACTCGTACAATGCGCGTTCACCTACCTGTATAGGGTCACAGCATCGTTTCCAGCACATTTATCCCTTAAAACGTTTATTTTGTACTGAAAAAGTTGGTGGAACTAGCCCAAGAATGTTGCATGTACATTGAATCTAACGGTTATTGGCAATCAGCACTTTTATCATACAAAGAGGTAGCCGATCGAGCTAATATTAGCATGGCTCAATAGAGCTTTTCAAGAGCTCCCAATTGGTGTACGAACATGAAAGAGAAATATTGGTCATAAAAAGAAACAGCTTTACAGATATCAACCTTTGTACATGTTTTAATACTATTTTTCATTATTATTCTGAAGATACCGTTCGAAAAATCCAAATATTTAGTAAAACTGATATGATATTCAAAATCAGCGTTCGAAACTGTGAGTCAATACATAGCAGCTTCAAAGAATTTGCACTACTGTCATTTTTTTCAATATTATCCCTCTGGTCCCCCCTCAGGGATAAGTGCAAAAATTAATTTCATCCAGCACACCTTGAAAGTTATTGAATATGCTTTTCAGTGCATAAAAAGATATCGGGACTCAAAATAATAGAAAATAGAACGATGGAACCTGCGTTTAATAGTAGAAAATTGGTGCGAAAATTTTCCAGTTCGGTTTTAATCAACTAATAAAATGTCTTTATGTCTACACTAAATGTATGATTACTTTGATATTTTGTTTGGTCACTGATTGAAATCTTTATCAGAAAATTTCAAAACATGTTTGACATAAAAAAATATTTAAAGAATCTTATTTGTCAACTAAAGAGGAAGGATCATTCAAAAAATTGATCAGTTTCTATAAATTCAAATGACTTGTCTAAAGGACATGTTTTGTATTGCAAATAAACGTGTACATTAGAAAGAGAACAGTAATATTTGATTGGCAACGTTTATTAATGAGTCGGTATTTCTTTTCGTGCAGTAAATACGTGTTATGATGAAAAGCGAAGAAAATAACAGCGAATGAAAACAATATTTCATCGGAACGTGACGTCAATAGCTATTGCGATTTTAAGTGAAAAATATTTATTTTTTTACTTTTTCTCTGATAATAATGGTACAAAATTTGTTATTCCTTACCACTACAATCAGATATAGCTTTATTTATATTTTGATTGATGATATTAAGAGCGGTTCACGACACGCTAGAAAATAAAATTCACTACTCGGCCATACTATTTTACTTTCTATTATAATAATATTGCCATTTAGTGTCGAAGTATCACATTTTGCTTTTTATTATTACTAGAGAAAACTAATAATTTTATTTATTTATTTATTTATCACAGTTATTAGAAAATAAATAGTCGGACCAATGAAAAAACAATCTATTTGATTGATCTAGAAAAAAAAACTTTTCGAATCAAAACTGTGATTGTATACACCATAAGAAATATTACAGTGTAAAAAGTTCGCTACGGCAGTTATTCACTTCAACTCTATGTTTAACATGATAACGGAAAAGTCGAAAATGGTTCGGTACTATATTATTTCATTATTTTAATTCAATATTTGTTTAGATATAAGTTTCATTCTGATGTATTTGCATAATACTACTGATTTAAAAGATATACTATTGAAATTTGAAGCTGTTCTTTGTTGACTTTCTTTCATTATTTACAATCATTCAGATAAGATTTAAACTGCCGGTATACTAATAGATCACTATGATTCAAACTAATTTCGTGATTTTTTAAAGTTATTAAAATCGACGAATATTTTTGAAAGCTCTTGAAACTAATAGAAATGAGTCTAATTTAATGTATCCTGTTTAAATTTAAGTTTTTGAACCGTGTATGCTATTCGCACAATTTCAATCAGCCTGACTTATTAGATAGATTTTTATTATAGACGGCCGTGCAAGAAAGTTTTGACTTTTATCGTCACTTTTCAATTGTCGATCTCTGCACATTATTGGTATATAATTTGTGGAAAATCAAATAAATTGTCTTGCAGAAAACAAAATGGTAAAACAAAAATAAATTTCGACTAATTGGAATTATTTCTAACAAATCATTAGTGTTAGATTAGAAAATAGATTGATCGTGCAGTTCTTTTCATAGATGAAGCACTTAGGGTACTTCTAAGGACTGTGATATACCAGTACATGTGACCGAGCACGTCACACGTAATAAAAAATTTCATTATTTTCATGCGATTTTAAGAATTTGATGATAAAATATATGTGCAATCGACACACGAAATTATCTTTCGTTGAAGACTGATCGTTTATCAGTATGGCACAACTGTTGTCTTTTCAATGAAATGATTATGTTTCATATGTAATATGTTGTATGAAGTGAACAAGTATTTTTAAATCGAATGCATTTTTTTTTTGGTAAGAATGATCAATTTTATTCCCAATCGGTTGGTTGTCAAGTACACTTTATATTTTTCTCGTTTTTTTTACTTCTATCGATATTAACAAAACATCACCAGTCTCTATAAATCATTCATGTAAAGCGACAATAATTGTACAGATAGAAAAGCAAAAACAAGTAAACTGTGCTGTTAGAAAAATACAAAACATAAAATAGTATGATGAAAAATTTTTTTGTTTTATTGAGTCTGAAATTAATGATGTTTCTCGTAATAGTTTATTTGTTTTTCTATGTTTTGCTTATTACTCGAAATCATCTGTTGAAACATCATCAACAGATACGAATTTACAGATTAAATTTTCGATTGAACACAAACTAAGTTGTATTGTTAATTCATTTTGGAGTTTCACAGTAAACGTTGAGATTCCTTTAAGTTTGTCATGGATTAGCATAAAAAGACTTTTAGCGCAGATCGGTGTTTGACATATAAAAGTATTTGGATATCGTAAACGAATACTAATAATGAAAATGATTTCTGTCTTTTCGTTGAATCTATTACAAGTAATACTATGTTTTAGATATTCATGTGCAGCTGTTGTGTTTATTTTTTTCATCAAAGAAATGACTAGACCATCTCTAACTAGTGCATGCGCTTGTTTGTCAAACTAAAACATATCTTATGCGAATAAAATGGCTATTGAAATCAAATGAAAATGTTTACTTTTTTGAAAATTAATGCCATATGTTCAATAGTTGTTGGCATGCCATCGGACTCGATATCATTTAAAGCATAAGTCATGGTAAATTCTGTTGAAAATGAACCTATGAATACTAACTTAGAAAAGATGAATAGAAATTTGAAAATGTTCTACGTACTGCTAGCAGTTGTAGTTGGTATATTTGGTTTTTGAGATATTAACAATATTGGAATTATCGATAAAAATAATACTACTCCACTAATACATGAAATGAAACTAATTATACCGACCAAATAAGAGCTCATAGGCGATCTAAATATATGATAATTGATGAATATACAATTTATTAAAATTCCTATACCTACTCGCTATAAGTAAATAATCGAATGAGCAAGTGCATTCCTATTGATACTTATAAAACGTATCTTATTGTGCACTGTTTTTAGACACAGAGACAAAGAAAAATGTATGTTGGTATCCAATAGACTGTTCTGTATAAACCTGTAACGTTATGCAATATGATGTTGATTTCGTTTAGACGAATGGGCAAACAAATTTGACTTCACCCTACAAATCAAAATTCATCAGAAAAGTATAAGTATTATTCAAGGTCGTTTTAATTAACGATTGTTTAATAACTATCTTAATGCATGATTCACCTATATTGTGTATCAGTTCGATTACAAATGTACGATAAAAACTGTTTAGCCTATAATATATTATAAACCTCTTCTCATGTTAGAAGACAGCCCCACTCCCGTCTCTTAATTGTATGACACAAAAAGATCAAAATTTTCCAAAATACTATTTTCATCTGAAACGCACTAAATCCTGTGAGGGGCGGGGGGTTGAATATGAGAAGGGGGTTTAGTGTTGTTGACGAGAGAAACAACTCGACAGTATTTTTCACCGAATTATGTTGTTATTTTTTTCACTGTTCTACTCTCCGCTTATTCAAAAACTGATGCATACAATAATATCAACGCGTGTCATCATGATTAATAAGCACGGCTGACATGACTAGAGACTAGAAAAACGAATATTAAAATTATGTGCTTCTACACAAAGTCAATCTATCAATCACTGGCTTGTTCAAATCTTACTGTGCTCAAAATAATCTGTGTTATTCATTTATAAATAGTTTCTATTGTGTAAATAATACACATATGTATTTATTATTCTCGACATATTTTAATACCTAATAAAATAGTTCATATGAAAGTTTTCTCTTATCAATTTTTACTAAAAGATTTTAATAAATTTCATTTGAGAAAAAAAGCCGCCACATATTTTTCTCTATTTCACATATACAGCACGACGTACCTATTACTTTTTTGCAATCAAACAAAATAATCACTCGCTCTTAATGAGACATTGCTTTCATATGTGTGACTCTGACGTGAGCTATGTCATGGACGATGACTGTTATAAGATGAAAACATAAATACGTATGATAATAATGATTATTAGGCACATTTTTTATTCATTTAGTTTCGCATCGACCGCGTGTTAAATAAAATGAACTGAAATTAATTGGCTGGGAACAATATTTTGCCATCATTTTTGTAAGATAAATCATTGGTTTATATACAAACTATTTGTCACTTCACATGGTTAGAATATGAAAAGTATTGAATTTATAGAGACTGATCAAAATGTATTACAAAAGGCATACAGGTAGTATGATTTTTTTTCTAGTGAAACTTCTTATCTCGTGTACATATAAGTTTCTTGACGTTCGTCAACAAGTCAATCATGTTCTATTGGCAAATATTGAGCTGTATAAATGTGGCATACAGCAATATTATCTAGGCTTGTTTTCAGCACACAGATAAGACTATTCCGTATGAATCGTCCATATAATTAATTGGTTCTTAATTGAGACTCCTTTATACAGTGAATGAGTTATGAATACCGTGAAAAGGTTTCGCGCTCCTGACTTGCTAACTGAAAGGTATTATCATTTAAGAGTATGTTGTAGATGAACTTCATTGTATCCCCTCAGCAAATTCAAATGAAATTGACTTTGCATTTCAATTGCAGCATTCCATAGAGTTAGACAGTCATGTGAGTAATGTAGTGGGAGCGTTTCAAATCTTTTGTTTTGATTGTTACTTGAAATGACCGTATGAGATCTGTTGACTTACATATGCAATGTAAAAGCTACTGTGCTGGTATAGTTGTGTCTAAGCCTATACAACGAGACGAACATTGTTAAATCCACAGAGAAATTTATCCTTGTGAAGATTTATTTCTATCAAACAATCCAGATCAAAATTCGACAATAAATATTTCTAATGTTCTTGTGAATATGATCGTGTTTTTCGCTTCAATGTACTAATGAAAAATGAAGTATCTTTTTAATAATAGTTTTTTTTTAGTTGGAGGACTTCTCTTGTCTGAAAGCGAAACTTTAAAAGTTTTCTTTCAATTTTCTTTCATCGTTATTTTCGTTTGTAAAAATTCTTATCGACTGAATGAAGATGACGCCATTTTTTTGTTTCAATTTTATTTTTATTCCATGACTAAGTAAGAAATTTGCTATTATACTAAGTTTTATCAAATGTCACTACAAAACCTTTTTGTTGTCATAGACAAATATTTTAACTATCTATTGACAAATACAAGCTATTAACTATTCAAAACTTAGATGGTGCACAAAAAGAAAATACTGAATGATATTTATCTGTAACCTTTACAAGTAGTATAAAATGTGTTCTACAGAAGATTATCATAAAATGGCCTATTATATTATATGGAAAGAGACAAATGTGTATTTTTCACATTTCAACGAACTAAACGACTAAAGATGCTAGTGCAGACATACTCTACGATTTATGAGACCTTCAAAATCATAAATAAGTTCTCCTAAAGAAACCAATGAATTTGATAATGAAAATGTTTAAACATTATTGAAGTAATTATATTTAAGTTCATTCATCTTGAGATACATCAAAAAAAATCCCATTGACGTGCTTTTGAATCTTATTAGAACAAGAAAAATATTTACATTACGAAATTCATTGATGGCGTAAGTTTTCTCTTTAGTGTTGTTTTATTTCGTCAAAAAAATGTTGTTCTTTAGTTCTATTTTAACAGAGTATTGATTTAAAATAGTTACGTTTGAAAATAAAATCTCACGTTTATGCTATTGCCTATAGACAAAACTAGTATTTTTAGCCTTGCAATCGACGATAATCACGTGTTACATAGAGATTTTTTCAACATGCTATATGGTCTGTTTTGTATTCAATTGCATGTAGGGCCGTTGTAGTACTGTTCTGTATATTGGAATCAGAATAGAAGAAGAAGAAGAACAAGAACAAGAACAAGAACAAGAACAAGAACAAGAACAAGAAGAAGAAAAGAATAAAATGAAGGAAAGAAAAAGTTTACCTGCATTAAAGACATTCGTATAAACCGTGGGAGGTCACCGAACGATGGAGGGAAGCATACCAAGAGCAAAGCGGTGAAACGAAGAAAAAAAAGCGCAGAATAAAAGGAAGACAGATTTGTGTATATGTGTGTGCGTCAGCATTAAGCAAGCGACGAGCTAAAGGCAAATAAAAAAAAGTTTGTTCTTGATCGTAGTGTAGAACATAAGTAATGTATTTACTGTCGGTCACCAATATACAGCGCAAATAAGTCATATCGATTTTTCTTTTTTTTCTATTTCACTATCTTATGGCCAGTAACGAATTATTTCCTCAAATAGCCTATCCTATTCGGGTAATTTTACCTGTTGTTTACACATTTATTACCATTTTTGCTCTAATCGGCAATGCATTAAATTTTTATTCATTATGTGTCAGTACTGACCGATATGGTCGAAAAAGTATTCATGCACTTATTTGGAATTTAACTGCTGAAGGAACCATATGGACGTTAATATTTTATACAGTTAAAATGGTATCCTATGCTGACTTGGGTGAACATTTTGCTTCAAATAATGGTAATTGGTTAAATGATTCATGGTGCAAATCTGAAATGTATATACTACGTATAATGGATTTTCTTCTTGCTTATACAATTGTTTTCTTATGTTCTGATCGTTGTGTTAAAAGAAAAGTATGTTGTTATGGTGTACGTCGTTTTGTAACTGGTATTTGTATAGTAATATCACTTTGGCTTGCGGTTTGTTATGCATTAATACCAACATTATTTTTTGATCAAAACTTACATTCGCTTAATTATGGTTCGTATGAATGTGTTTATAATGAAACACAAATAAATGCAATAAGCTGGTTAGATTTACGAAATGTTCAATTACCTTTTAAAACAATTTATTTACTGGATTTTATGTTTGGGAATGCGTTACCAATATTTTTAATGATTTCATTCTTAATTATACGATGTTTTGTTTATCGAAAACCAAAAACTAATAAATATAAAATTGATCCAGATGCAAATCTTACTGAATTAGATTTAAATACATATAGAGAATTTGATTTAAAAAATTATGATGATGAACATCCGAATTTAACGAAAATGGTATGTAAAAATTAATTAATATAGTGTTGTGTAAAGATTTAATAGTTAAATATCAACTAATCCAATGAGAAACACATTCTAAACATATCTAATTAGTTATTCATATAAACGAATTCAATATATGAAGCAACGATTGATTTTGATACTTTATCAGATTAGTTTATATCAGTAAATTAATTTTTTGTTTCGTTTCAATATAAATAACCCGAAGGTAGAATGACTGATAAATTGTATATATCGAAATGATTCGATTGTAAAAAATGTAACTAGAAATTTTTTACTATGGTTGAGAAGAGTTTGCTTGAATTTTACATAAGATCTGTTGATGAAATTAATGACGCTTTTATTAGATAATATTGCTTTATAAATGAAAGTCACGTTTTATATAACAAGATTTTTCTTTAATATTTATTGATATAGTGAAAACAAAATTTTTGAAGAAAAAATAAAATTGCATTGATAAGAATATGTCTAGCTTTTTTTGTTTCTTCTTCTTAGGTTGTATTATATGTAATCATATTTATTATATGCCAGTTACCATATTATATTTACCGCCTGATTCTTATTTATTATCCATCGATTCAAACAAATTTAAGTTCAATTAATATTTTATATGCAATTGATATTCCTTTAATTGCTCTTCGTTTAATTAATCGTGCTATTAATCCATGGCTTTCTTTTTTTCTAATGCGTTCAATACGAGATTCTTCTCGACAAGCATGTTCTTCATTTTGGTGTTGTGGTTGTTTTCCCTGTTGTCCAAATCGCTGGTCATGCTTACGTGATTGTTCATCATGGATACGTAATGAATGGCATGACTTGACGGCTAGTCAAAAAATGATACGAGAAATTCGTCCAACTGGAAATATAACAAAAAAAGAATTTATTGATCCAACTGGAAAACGTATTCGACAAACATATGAAGAATATGTTAGATATTTTCATCGGCCACGTACACATTTTAGCGATGCCAATCCGGCATTATTACTTGCTGGTAGAAATACACCGGCAGGAAATGAGAATTCAGGTTATTTAACTAGCAATCCAAAAATTCAACATTCTCAATTAATGGAACCAAGTACTGAATTGTAATTATTAGAATGATTGTTGGCTGGTTGTATTGAATTTTTCTAGTAGATTAAAATGAATATATTCACAATAAAAGTTTTTTTTCTCTGGCACTCGTTTGTTTCGTTTTTTTTTCATGCACAAGATTTATGTAATATACATATACAAAGGAAAACAGAACAACTTAAGAAACGCATCATTACTTTTCTAAAACAAAAATTCAAAAACACAACAAAACAACACTAACAACTGCTATTAGAAACAAAACTTCATATTATGATAAACTATTAATTTGTCGTGTAAAATAAAGTGCAATATCTGATATATTCGGACGTTTTGTTCCATCAATATGCCAACATTCACATAGTAAATCATAAATTTCTTTTGAACAATCAACTGGCTGAGATAAACGAATTATAGATTCATTTAGAGTTTCTATTCGGTTCGATGATTGTCGAAAGACAAGATATTGATAAAGTTCTTCATTTGTTAATGATGCATGTGGCAAATATGAACATCGAGACCAAAGTTCCCATAATGTTACAGCAAATGAATAAATATCTGATTTTAATGTTGAATTATTCTAAAATAAACAAATAATTTTATTGAACGAAAAAAAGTATTTTCTAAATAAAAATCTTTACTATTAGAGCTTCTGGTGCAATCCATCTCAATGGAATTTTATCACCATTATTCGACAACCAATATTCATGTTCATATTGTGATAAAGCCATCGCACAATCAGTCAATTTAATGGTATAATCGGAATAGAAGAGACAATTTCTTGCTGCTATATCATTATGAATTATATTTAAATGAGATAAATATTCCAGAGCATTTGATAATTGATGAGAAAAATAAATATTCATTCTAAGAGTAAATTTCAAAATCTTTTTCAACAAAAACAAGTTTTCTACGTTACTTTTGAAATGTTAAATCATTGATTTTTTTATGATAATAATGTTGCAAAGTACCGAAATCTGAGTGTTCTTGGACAAAATAGAGTAAATCAAGTTGTACTGCACATACACATGCAATATTAATATGATTCAAACGAGATAAAATGCCGAGTTCTGATAAAAATCTTTGTCTAACGAAAAAAAAGATATTAATTTTCAAATTTTTTCATAAATATATTCTTTTTACTTTGTTGAATCAGTCATATCACTTTTTATTATTTTAATTAACACAGATTTCGATTGATTATCCAATGAATATTTTCCTTTGAAAATTTCTCCATAGTTAGATTCAGATATTTTACATACTGAAAATAGTTTTGATTGATCAACACAAGACGGAAGTGAATAATCATATTTCGAAGGAACAACTTCTTGTATAGCACTGCAATTAAATAAATTCACTAGTTTTGAAGACATTTGTCCAATATCAGACGACGCATAATGAAATGTCTAAAAAACAAACAATATTTTTCAAATAAAATAATGCATTTTGTTTTACGTTATTCGTTGAACAATGCGCGTATGAGTTTGCATCAATAATAGCATATTGTTCACTTTTAAATAATGATGATGGTGAACTCGTATGTAATAATGATGTTGTTGACGTTATTGGATATATGTATGAACCTATTGATGTCAAATCGTCATAATTTATTTTTCTAGTTGATTGATTCTGATTGTTTTCAACTGATGAACCATTTGCTGTGCTTGTTAATCGAGAACATTTATAATAAGGATTACTATTTTTACGTAAATGACAATTACGAATACGAATTATAACGAGAGTAAATAAAAGAATAAAGCAAAGAGAAAGAGTTGAGAATATTAAAATTGTTAACCATTCCAATGGTATTATAGTTGATGATGATGATGACGATGACAATGACAATGACGATGATGATGATGATGATGATGATGACAATAATGTTATTTTATTATTCAATGCTGAACACGCTAAGCATAAATTAGATATTATATAATAAGAAATGAAAGAATATTAATCAGAGTAGAAAAATCTAATAATGGCAGATACAAAAGGTTAGACTAAGTTCTTATCTTAACATGATCGATTGATACGAATAAATATTAGATTTCAATATTCTATCTATCAAGGACAGACTCGTATCAACTCTTTATGTCAACTATTGAATTGATTTGCCCAAAGCGATTTTATTCATTGAAATAAAAGAAACTATATTGCCACTTGTTTAATTAATAAAAAAAAATGATAATTATCAATTAAATTTAGACAATTAAATAACTAAAAATTATGATTTATTAGAATCTGTTACGTAGAACAATATAATTCTTCTAGTCATTTGAACATATTCTTTTTCTCATTTCACATGCATTACTATATCGAAGGGTTGACATGTGTTACTCTAATGATACTCAAAAAATACTATTCAAGTATTATATTATTATAGCTTTTTCTATAACGAAAGAGTGTACTCAGCTGTTTTACAGTGTTTAAGCTTGATTTGATCTACACTGGGCGAACTATGAAACTAGTTCAAATCAAAGGAGTTTCATCAAGATGAATTTCAGGAGCAAACTTAGGATTTTTCTAGTCAATTTAAAAATATGCTAAGATATTTTTACGAAAAATCAAATAATATACTTATAATTCTTGATTGAAAACATTGATTATAGTTTTTCTCGTGAAAGGAATGATTTTAGACGGGATTAAACCTGTAATGAAAATCTCACTTAAATGTTAGAAGTCAAAGTCTATGCTATCGATTGCTAATAAAAATTGATGTCTATTGAATTAAATCATATTCTTAACTTTAATTTTCTTCTTATGTCAATGTTTGATAGATTGTTTACTCTTTTGAAAAAGCGTACATAAAATTTGAATAATATACAATATGTCTTATCCAGTACTTGTTGTTTATAATATAGAGCATGTCTTATCTATTGATTTAATTATTTTTGATTCTTAATAACTCACCCAGCGGACAATTAGTTGTAGTCACACTGGTTGATGTTGTACTGTACAATATTGTTGGTTCATTGTCAAATGTAATTTCAGTTAAAGAAAGAAGTCCATTATCGAATTCAAATAAAAGTTCGACACGTTTTCCTATATTTACTATTTTAGATTGATTTAAATGAATTGTATCAGCAAATGTTTTTGATAGTGATGTTGATAGCTTGTGTCTCATTGGTAAATTATTATCAATTTTAATTTGAACTGAACGATATTTATTGTTAACTGAATAGATTCGAATAGTTTTAAAATGATAGTATGTATCAAAATGAAATTGAACTAAAACTGGAGATTTATTCCAAGAAAGTCTACTATCTTCATTATCTCCAATAATTCCATCGATTAATTTTCCGACTCCACCTAAATGAAAAATAATAAGAACACAGATGATAGAATGAAAGGAAATGATTTTACCATCATATACATTATCTTTATCTATACTTGGTGACGTTGTATATGATACAATACCACCTATAGAACAAAAAAATATGATCAATATTTTGTATTATCAATTTCATACCAATGAATGCACATCCATAAAGTTCAACTCGCATACAAACAGTACGCCAACGTGAACTATAAGGTATAATTCGAATACGTTTTGCTATAATGGGTGATAGAAGGAATCGTTTTTCTGCTAAATATGTATTGATGTTTCCTTTCAAGACCTAGAAAACCAATAGTATTAATATTTTTCTCTAAAGAAACTATGATCGTGTCATACTGTTTTATTTGTCTTTTTATTATTATATGTTATCCAATTAGATGAATTATTTTCTCGTTGATATTCAATTTGATAATATTCTGCATACTCATTGCCCTGTCCATTATCAAAGCGACCTTGAGTTTCAATAGCATTTATAAAATATAATTTATGTAATTCTATTTGAACATATTCATATGATTTTGGTCCAATGGGTTTATCTGGACACCATGCTCCTCCTTCTAATTCAGTTCGAATTCTGTGTAAAAAAAAAAGAAAAAAATATCCTTAGTAAACTTAATCCTGTTTCAATTTTGATCAATCACTATTGTTTCTATTATTTTTTACTAAAAGAGAGAAAAATGATGCTTTTACCTTGCCATTTGAGGACCCACACTACTCAAGTCGTGAGTTGAACTCGAGGTCAAATCACTATCACCAATTGAACCTGATTCCATACCTAATGGTGCATTACATTGTTCTTAAAATAAGACGTATAAAAAATTGTTGCTTTTCAAAATTTATTATATTTATATATATATATATATATATTCACCATATTCGGACAAGATTACATTGGACGAGACATCAGGAAAAACCATGATGAATAGTATATACAAGTTACATATTATTAACATAATCACATACATTTTGTTATCTAAAAGTTTTACAACAATGAATGAATATCTCGATATCGTGATAGCTATTAATAAGAAGAAGAAGAAGAAAAAGAAGAAAAAGAGGACAACATGCATGTCATGTTGATGTCATCATTTCGATATTGATATTATTTAATAAAAGAAATAGCAGTCAAACTAATCAAATAGAAAATGAAAAAAAACATCATTTGATGTTCTAATAAAACTTATCTAATGTCCAGACATTTTCTCATATTTAATAGTTATCTGTACACGTTGACAACCATCAATAATAGACAAAATGTAAACGAAATGATATGGACATATTACGTAAAACGAAATAAACATGAAGCATACTTAGATGATGATCATCATTGCAAGATGTATGCATATAAGCGTACGTGTTCACTGATTGTATAAACAAATATTATGGTTAAGTTGTTTGATGTGTTTCACGATGAATGAGAATAGAATTCTAAGGTATTTATGTGCATATGAGACGATATCAGATTTTCATGATGTAATCTTATAAATCTTCGTCATTTTATATTAATATACTCATGTTCTATTCTCTATACAAAGACATTGAGACTGAACAGAACAATCTTTTTATTATACCAGAAGAGAGAAAGCTCTGTCTGTTCTTTTATTTTCTTCTTCTGCTTCTTCTCCCTTTCATCGATAACGTGAAAACGACAGAACAAGGCGTTTTGTAATAATTTTTATCATCTTTCTTTTTTTCTATCGTTATTCTTTACACATACATTTATTAATTTGTACCTTATTTCTCTTTCTTTCTTACAAACACATGAAGGGCTTCTTTGTTCAAGTGTACGATATAGTAGCTTACGTAAGGATACACTTAAATTTCATTGTCGGTTGGTGATCAACCACAGAAAGACCTTGTGTGATCACAATATATAAGAGCATTTGTCCATCCGTCATAGTCGTCATACAACTGTTCATTTATATATATATATATATATACGTTAATATTTCAATCTTATTCGACATAAGTATTAAAATCAATAAGTGTGAACAACAAACATCTGTCTGTTTAAAGTAAAGAGCGAAATGGTTACTATTCTGATTGAGGTGCACTTACCGAAGTGAACCATTCGACAAGTCGTTCAATTAGACCATGCACATCACATTCAAAGCAACTCAAAGAGAAAAAGACTAATCGACATTCCTCTGCAAATATAAAAAATGAGAATGATGTAATGCATACATTAAACAAGTGCGTTATTGAAAAATAATTAGCGATAGTATGTATGCAACATGTTACCATAAACATTGTGGCCTCTGAGGTATCACACACCTACGATACTGAAGTTTAGATATAATTGGCTTGTCTCTACTTCTATCCACTAATGTTGCTCATGTTGCATAGCAAACATCATAATTCTTTTTGGTCTTAATCACACGCGATGATTTTAGTTTTTTTTTCTAACTAAAGAAAGAAAAATGCTACTAGCTACTTAGTATTAGGTCTCGTCGCTAGTCATTTAGGTGACAACGATTCAAGGTAAACTAGAATTGAATAAATAAATAATATAGTGTGGCTGAAAAAAAAACATGATAAAATCAATGCGTTAGAAATATAGACGTCTAATAATGAAAAAAAATAAAGTCATAGTAGGTTGTTATATGTCCAATATCAATATGTGCTAATTGATTGTGCAATCGTAGAATAGATGAAATCAATCACTAATTCAATAATAATACTAACACATTAGAGCTGAAATATTTTTTTTATGAAAAGAACATTATGTGTCAATGGAAATGAGCTATTGTGCTAATTAAGAGGATTCCATTCTGTTTTCTTATTGGAGCTCATGATAAAATCTTGTTAACCTTGAATAAACCGCCGGAATAAGAAATAAGACGAAGATCATTAGTAGACATAATCATCGACGACCAACATGCACACATAAAAACTCTTATTAGTAGTTCTCGTTTCAATGAATATATCTATATGTGTATCGAGTCTGATAGTTGTAGTAGGACTACTCAATGATTACAATTAGACATGAGCAACCAATCATGTGTATGTTCAGTCTGTACTCACTATTTTTGCTGATCTTTGCCTATTAACTATAAGAGCATCAATACATGGGCATACTTTTCGTGATAAAATTAGTCGGTATTCGAGATGCAATTGATCTTATATGTATCCTACCAAGAAATTAAAGAAAAGAAGTCTTATTGATACAGAGAGTGCATTGAAAATTGAGTCGTGTCTGGACAATTATAATAAGGGTGGCCATTTGTGTATACAGATGAACTAGAATGAAATCAGTGACGTTGCTATTTCATAATCATTAAAAAAAAGGAACAGCAGACACCAACAATGCATAAATCGTGATTCTACTATTGGATGTTTCTAATTCGGTTGCTTTAGTTTTAGTTAAAAAAAGCTTGTCATTACGTTTTCAATTGAGATTCTTATAACAAATATGTCAGCCATAGTAAAAATTAGAACTTAGAAATAGAAAGTATATTTATGCAAAACAATTGACTACTTATTTCAATAATAATGATATGAAATAAATGTGAATAGTTCGTACGTAAGTAGTTCACGTATTTTGATCGAGATAGATGAAAAATGATTTAAGATTATTCTTAAATTACTTTTACTCAGTGGCTAGACAATAAATATTGATTGTGTATCTATTTAAGTGAACAGTTTAATCCATCATAGACTGATTGAATGTTTATTATATTTGATGAATTCTAACATATTTTCAATCCTATTGAGATATATAAATGACCTTTAGGATTGTACATACACAGCATGTGAATGAATGTGTGATGTCAAATTATGATACACTGGTGTTGTTATCCTATAAATATATGCATATGTGTGTTAACGAGACTTTATCTTATGAAAAGAGTTAATTAATGAAAATACCAAGTAACAAGTATATAGTATACGATCGACAATTACTTCGTATAAAAACATAAATAATATGTTCGTCATCTTGATACTTATTTCAGACGAGTCCTTCTGTGCAAAACAATGTATTGTCAAAGTATAGACACTGAACGAAAGTGAATTGGGCATGTTGAAGAAGTCTTGTATACAGACGAAGTCGAGTGATTTTTTAATCATATTTGAAGTCGAGCAGCGAATAAAGGTCAATACTAGATGAGGACTTGATATAAACGATAGAAAAAAGAAAATTCCGTTGACCGGAAATATAAACAAGACTCAATGAGTGGGTAAGTATACGTATAGATTTATTTCATGTGACGATAGACAAAATGACACTAGCTTTGAACCAAAGTGTTCTTGTAATACTATACATAGTCAATATCTGTGACATAAAACGAGAATAAAAGAAGATGGATTTGACAATGAATAAACTATCTAAAAGGAAATTAATCTATTTCATGATGGTGAAAATAAAAAAAATTTTATTTCATGGAAGTTGATTGAAAACAAATTGTATTTTATTTTCAAAAGTTATTTTCAATATAAATCTTTTGATTTTACTATTTTAAAATGTATAAATCAAGTAGAACATATGAACGAATATTGAACAGATTTTGAAAGAATGTCTTTTTTTCTTTTTTTCTTTTGTTATATTAAATTACACAAAAGTAAAACATGATACGAGGAAATTTTTTTCTCTTACTCTACATTGAAATAAAATTCTTACCCTAATTTGAAACTATAGTATAGATTAATATGGGATATGATTGATCTGTAGTCTCTATTGTACATTAATTTTCTTACTCGCAATCTACCCTTGACGATAGAATTACTATGCACAAATCCTATGCAAATCATACATTTCTATATAAGTAGGCAGAAATTTGGAAAAGCTTGTTTTAACATTGTGAAACTATTCATTTTTCTTCAGACAACGCGTATCTACCATTGTTTTAATCAGCGGAAATGGTTCACAACCAAGGGATGGAGGTGATATTTTCGATCGCCGACTCTAATTTGGAGTACGATCACCTCGCGTTTCCGTCTTTATTCGTAATGACGGTTTCAATTTGAGTATTGAAACGTGTTTTTTTGAAATTTTTGTTTTCTTGGGTATCTTTCGAAATAATTGCTTTGTCGTCTAAGAAATTTTTGAGTTGTACAGTATATAACTTTAATTTTTCGCTACTTTGTATAAGATACTCATCGAGCATCAATAGATGACATCAACAATTTCTTTATCAAATCACGCTCAGTTCCCTCAAAGTAACACTTTTCACTGTAATCAGATGCTAAAATCTAGTGATAACTGTCTTTCTTAATTCTAAGATCTTCATTTCTGTAGTGTATTCTTAGAATTTCAGTTAAATTCTAAAATTTCAGTGGAATTTTCGGAATATTTATTAACATAAGAAAATGTATCATGACATCATCAAATATGATTACATCAGTATTACAATAGTCCTTCAATTTAATGTCGATCGGTTTGAACGAATAAAATTGAAATTTAAGAAATATTTTCAACTATTAAAATTGATTTAGAAAAAATCATTAATGTTTTGAAAATCTTTAGTAACTTAGTTCATAAATAGTTTAGTAACAACTAGTTAAAATTAAATTTTCAAGATAGTAGTATTTTTTTCCAAAGCAATAAAAATGTGCCAGCGAAATGAATTGTAATATTATTAAGATTTTCAGATGATTATCCGTCTACGGATTACTATTTGGTATGTTTTCGATACATACACATGCAATACTAGCTTTTTCGTTGCACTGAAAAGAATATCTATTTACTTCATATTAATTAGAATTGAGATTAAAACGTAGAAGACATGGATAAACTCACCTTTTTTTTTAGATATATCTTGATCTTTTTATAAAAACATATAATGTTTGTTCTCGAAATTTGGATGATTTTCCGCTTAAAAAATAAATTGATTTTTTAAAACAATCGAAAAATATTTTTACTTTTCACTTTTTTTGCCGATCGAGCATCTCAAAATTTTCGTTTATTGCAGCCAACTATTGATCTTAATTTAAGAGATTATATGAAGTTGTACAGCGTGACAGAACTTGTTTTACTTATTCAGCTTCTTTGTTATTATATAAATGTGCACTTCTATAAACAAATAATCATTTTTTCATGGTTGTCGAAAGTATCAAACTTGTCACCTTTTCTTTTTTCTTCGCAAACAAAGTAAGAGTTTAAGAAAAAGAGCTCTGGCAAATTCTACAATCTGAGTTGCATGTTTAAAAATAATTAATATATAAATTATAAGTTAAAGTAAAAGGTTTCCAGTGAATAAATAAGCAATTATTGACCTTTTTTGTTTAAGAATCCTCACTTCAAAAGATCATGACCTAATAACACAAAAAACTGAAAGTGGTATGTGACTTTAATATATGTAGTCTACGATTTAATTTTTCTTAGACAAAATTTAATGAATTTCTTGTTCTCAATCTTTTAGAATTTCATATTTTATTATTCTAACGAATAAAATGAAGTATGTTCATGATAGTGTCCTTTTTTTACGGCGTTTTCTTGATATAACGAATTTGGCGGAAAAGGTCGAATAGGAAAATGTAGAAAAAAAAGAAGGAAAATGACGAAAATTTGTCGACTTTCTCCTTCTTTTTTTCTACATTTTCCTTTTCGTCCTTTTCCACCAAACCAGATATAACAACAGTCCAAAGTTCATAAAGGTCTCCTTTTCCGGTACATAGTCTTATTGCATAGAATTGAAACATCATATTCAAATTTCGTATGAATTGAAGCGAATCATCTTATAAATAATATAAATCACAATAAAAATCAAGAAAGGTGATACTCTTGTATTTCAACTTCATGATCTTCGATATGGCCTAATTGATTTCCATAGATTTAGTTTTAATATGAAAGAACTTTTAAAAATTGACATGAATACGCTCAATCGAAATCTTAACTCTCTGTCTCTTTCTCTCTCTCTCTCTCTCTCTCTCTATATATATATATATATATGAAGTACTGTGTAATATGAATACATCTGCATACTTTTGAAAATATAAATAAGGCTGATAACATATTTTTATTACTCTACCTGTTATAAATACTATTTATCGGCAAATATTACGTATTTATGACGTTAAAATTCCTATTGTTTGTTAATTTATGATCGGTCATGCCCACGATTGATTGGAATTATATGGAAACCTGATATTTACTATCAAGTTGAAGTATTATATACAGTAGATTCGTTAGAATATTTTTTTTCTTTCTAGATTTATTATTTATTTTAGAAAGGAAAAGTCTTCCTTTTTGTCCTGTTCATTTACTTCATAATTTGATATATTTGCAATGAAAAGTTTTAATACGTTAAAAATTTAGTTTGTATTAGTCTTCTTGCACTTGCAGTTCTTCTACATAGCTCAAGGCTGAACAACGTGCAAAAGACAACGATCAATTATAATACGAATTAAAGAACATTCTTCTATCTTTCTTAATTTTGTGTTGATATTGATCGATATACAATGTAATCTCATTATTTTCGAAATATTAGGAAATAAAGCATAACTGAACATGAACAACAATATACAGTATGATCATTTATTGACAAATCAAAAAAAAAAGCATATGCAGAACGAATAATATACAAAATTCTTCTTTCTCCTCTTAATCCAAAAAAAGTGATGAGGTACAACTAAAATCATCAGATTATATTTTCATATAATTTAAACGGACAATAAACAATTTGCACAATACAATCGATAGTTAAGTCAGATTATGTACAAAAAGAAAACGAAAATAACATTGAATTTTTTTTTATTGAAAGGAGTATGCACTGTTTATTCTACAGAAATATGCATAAGTGCAAACCAATGAGAATCACCGAGAAAGAGAGTTAGAGCAGACTAGTGTATTCAATAATAATAAAAAACAAAGGTTCCTTTTTTTTAGTTTTTCTTTAATTTTTCAATATGATTAATAATTTTTAGTGATGGACCTAGTTTTAAACCCATATGTCGCATTAGTGTATCAGTTGTTAAAAGAAGAAGAGCTTTTCCGTCGATTTCCTATAGAAATAAATTAGAAAAAGACTGTTTACGTTTTGTATTAAATGAAAATGACAAAAACTACTTCTTGAAGAAAACGAGAAGCAAGATTCTCGAATGCTGGATCAATGCCTCTAACGAATGCGGCGACATCCACTGGTGTAAATCTTTCAGGACGACGAGATATTACATTTAATGGTGTAACTAATAAAAGAAAATGAATATCTAATCTTATTATTGAAAAAGATATTTACCACAATTTTGAACATTAGTATTTATTATTTTTGGATTATTCGACGGATGAGAATTTAACAAAGGTTCTAAATATAATCATTTATAACATCAATCAAAAGTAATAGTGTCATATATTTAATAAATTAAGTCTGCAGGATATTATTTCATCTGTAGTACAAGTATGATATGATTAGATATTCAAAATGAATCCTTTCTATCTTTGATTTTCTGACTATGAGATATGAAAAATATGAATCTATTGCTAATGTAAAAACATCTGGGAGTGTTAAAATAGTTATTCTAACTCTAACTATGGTCTTGAATGTGCAATGTTGAGATTAGAAAAATCCTAAACCGATCTAGATACAAGTTTCGTTACGATAAAGATATCACTTGTTTTTACTAAACATTTGCTCCTTTATCTGACCTCTTCAATTTAATTACAACTTTGAATTTAGACATGAAATTTTGTCTACATAATCAGATTAGGTCACTAATAAAGTTTTTAGATGCTCGAATAAGTTTTATCATAGATATAGCATCACTGAACTAATACAATCATCCTTTGTACTTTTATTTACTCATGTGTTTTCATTGAAACGACATACACATTCATATCATTCGATAAAATCGATTTTAAAGAATACAACTACAGATTAGAAATTTTAGCATTCTAGATTCTACGATGAAATACATTTGCTGATAAGATTAAATCTATTTACATATGTTATATTGAGCTTAAGTTAGTGCATGTGATAGTACAAAGCACAAATATTAGAGTTTTGCCATGTGTATTCTGTATTCACAAGAATATAATGTATTGAAGTATATTTCGCGTATGGTTGATGACTTTTGAACATTGAAAAAAAAGAATCATTAGAGATATTTGATAGATAGCTACGATCAAATGAATTCTCATTTTATGGACAATAACTGTTAATATTTTCAGTAGAATACATTTGATACATGCAGTTCTTCGACATCAATATGTTAAAAGATAGATATATTTTGTATAATAGCTTGCAAAAAAATATATCTCAAACATCATTGATTCAAAAATTGTGAAATTCAGTAGATGAATTATATTTGCGCATTTGATTTTCCTAGTGCAGTAGTATACTGTAGAAAGGTGATATCTCAACTAGATTTTTAAAAGTTTCTTGGCACTTCGAGAGGTTTACTTGTAAATAGTTTAATCCTCACGTCATAACTTTTCAGTCTTAATTTCTTTTGAGAAAAAACAATTAAAATCCTTTCAATTTCAGATTATAAGTTAAGTTGATTAGTATTTACTTGTATCATGCACCGATTTTTCAATAGAACTTGATCGTGGAACTTTTCCATTCTGTAGAAATGTTTTATTTTCTAGAATAAAAACATAGATCTAACATAAAATTCTTTGAAATATTTACCCGAATTTATTTCTGCACTTTTACGTTTGACATTTTGATTTACTAATGGTGAAAGTTCTTTCTTATCTAAAGACAAAGGAAATATTCATTTTAAAATACAATGAAAAAAGTAAAAACATACCAGGTGATAGGGATGAATCAAGAAACGATGACGATGAACCATTACCTAATCAGAATAAATATTGATTCATTTTGTTAAAACAATACAATTCTTACTATGATTCATAGTTGAATGTGGTAGTGTTGATATAAATAAATCATTTCCAGCTAATATGCCATTTTGAAATAAACGAATAATATCCCAAAATTCTTCTTCATTTTCAATGTATGGAATATTTACTATAGTGCCATTCTCCACTAAATAGACAAAGAATAAAAGTTAAATAAATAAAATTTCTTTTTATTTCGAAATAAAATAGTTTCAAATGTAATTACATTTAATCGGCGTAGAGGACTTCTTTTTATCATTATTTGTCACAGGAAATAAATCAAGTATGCGATTGATAAAGGATGTTGGTTGAAATGAACATTTAATACATGAATCAAAAATTGTTTTTAAAACTGAGTAACATTCACCTGGACCAAATATCGATGGCATTGAGGAATGAAATCGTGGAGGATTTAATAACATTCCTCCATTATCACCAATATAATTCCAATAAACAGTTACTTAAAAAGAAAAGAATAAACATTTTCAAAACTGTATTAAAACGAATTCTAGTTGATCGTTTTTTGTTTGAAATATTAATGGAAGAACTAAATCAACTGTTTTATCTATCTTAACAGAAATCAGTTTCTGCTTGAAGTTTTTAATTTTTTCAGAAGAAAACGTTAACTGAAAATCTTACTTTTTTATCATTCTCATTGAGACCTGTTGTTTCATATATCTTTCAATTATTTCGAGTATATAATAACAGAACGCAAACATTTATCGCTATTAATTTGTACTATTCATGTACTACCAATCAATTTAGTGTAATATATCTACAGTAGTACCATTCTTCACCTACTCAATAGGTAAATATAAACACAATAAAGACATATTATGATAGAAACTTAGTCTCTCAGATACAATGAAAAAATGCATTCGAGAAGTCTGTCTCCATAACTCACTAACTATACGAATAAAACTCTCCATTTTTACTGATAGTTCCTGTTCCTTTTAATATTGATAAAAGATCTAAAATTTAGACCTAGTTCGGATTCAGAAGAATATTATTCCACGAATTCAGATAAAACTAAACCATTGAATATAAACAAATGTGCGCATCTAATATTATTCTCGAATTAGATCTGCGGTGGATTCATCCAGAATAGTTACATCAAATCCTAGACGTCTAATTCACTAGCATGGCATTCATTTTTAGTCGCCGTTTTATTGAAATAAGGACCAAGAAAGTCTACTATGAAACATATTTAAAGGCTAATGCTAGTCAAAGGAAATTTTTCAACTATCCAACTCAATTCTTACCAATAGGCTGTTCTTTTTTAATATTTTTTGTTTGAACGTCATGAAAATCCATTGAACTTTTATGTTCATTTTTGTTTGGCGATATTTTAATTGAGTTTTTCTTCGATACTAAATTATTATTCTTTTCATCCATCGTTGTTGGTGAATACGATGAATCATCTGATGATGGCGAAATAACTGTTTTCTTATTTTTTGCTTGTTGCTGTCGGATATTTCCAGTCTGTTTATTTGGAGTTATCGGTAATGATTTTGTCGATGTACGAGAAAGAGCTAAACAAAACAATACTTATATTATTTTCTCTTGTCAATTGATTAAAACAAAAATACATACGATTTCCACCGACTTTAGCTATGCGAATTCCTACGGATTTACACCAGCCAACACGAAAAATATCCCTTGATGAATAATCAACTTTAAAATTATTGGACGAACTCCAACCATCTAATGATAATACAATTCGATAATCACCATGCATGACATTATTTACAGTAGCTGGACATATTAATTCTGGATGTTTTGGATCAACAGCCTCTAATTTCTGTCCTTTTTTGAAAAGATTTTTTTCAGGTTTGGGTGGTGCCTATTAGTTATATCATTCCATTATATTAATTGCTCTATTTTCAATTCATTCTTACCGATTTAAAGCAAGATGCATTAGCGAAGGGTCCATTTTTAACATTTTTTTCAAAATATTTCGCCCATCGAGTTGAATTTTGTTGAAAACCAAGTGGAGGTACAATTTGTCCACCCTAAATATGAAGGATAATAATAAAAATATTTTTCTATTAAATTCTCTTACATATTTTGCTGTTGTTCCATAACATCGAATATCGGTTGAATCAACAAGTCGCCAAAAATCATTTCGATCATCCGTACCATCTAAACGTATGCGTATCCTTGGTCCGTCTTTATCAACAATTGTGCCAATACACCATGAATCTTGATTTCTTGGATCAATGGTTTCAAGTTTGTCTCCCATAGAAAAATCATTTTTCGGCGGAATTAAAGACTTCAGTGAAAAATTCAGTAATTAATTAATTAATTAATCAAAGTATGTACCTGTCGAAAATTGCAAGCTGGTGCAGCTTCACTACTCGTTTCAATTAAATAGGTGTCCCAATCATGTTCTAGTAACAAAAAATAATTTAAACTACGGCTAACAACAAATCAATCAATTATTTTCTTGTATACCTTCATCTTGTGGCGAATCATCTTGAGTTACAGACATTTTTCTTTCAGATAAACTCATCATTAATACATCTAAAATAATGAAACTTGTGAGACTGAAGAGAAAAATTGATGCGTTTTTTTTCTCTTTTTGTCTCGATTCATTGACAAGAGAGAGCAGAAGAAGAAAGAAAGAATGAGTAATAACAACGTAATTTTTCAACCAATGATTTTATAGAAAGTTAAATAGATGGCAGTCATAAAAAGGTTCACCCAAGATTTAACACAGTAGCAATAAAGCTTCGCAAGAATTACCGTGAACTAACAAGATTAGTTATAATCGAGGGTATATGACTATATATCTGTTCATATCTCTGCTCTCCGTTTTCATTTTTCTACAAAATATGTTTTTTTACTCTTTATTTTTTGATATTTTTCGTATTCTTTATGCATGAATAATCTTACATTGGTGCATCAAGTCAGTCTCTGGATCAAGAAGGACTCTGCTTCCATCACAGTTTGATTTCATTTGAAACTTTCTAAAAGACTCATAAAATACGCAAAAGCTCTTTTAGAAAAGTATATTCTATCTTCTTTACGAAGTTATTCATGAATAAATAATAAAGCGATTGGGAGCAACTTCAATCATACATAAGTAAAGATTATTGTTTGTATTTGGTAAAAGAGTTCTTATAATTAGATATTTATGAGATCAAAACTTGATAACGCTGGGGTCGATTTAATCCTGCTATATCTGATATTGTCCAAGTTTTCAGTTCTGCTTTGAATAAATAAACTGATCTCAAATTCATTTGCAATAAGTCTATTAGAGTTAGAAAATAAAAAATTATCCTAGCCGAAGTTCGAATCGTGCAGTTGAAATTTTTGAAATGAAGACGTGGACTCTGCAGATCTCTACGGTAGGATTGAGCTATATTGGTCAGTTGGTACTTCACTGCCGTAGTGACATAAACCATCTTGAATCACGGTTGAACTTACCATTCAATTTACTTTCAGATGTCTACAATGAAATATTATTTTTAATCAACATTTAGAAATTTATAAACAATAGTAATCAATAGCGATAACAAAATCAAATAAAAACCATTCATTATTGAAAGAACTCAAACAACTATTAACATTTATTTCACTACTACTACTAGATTGTTTTCCAATTTTGAATTGTTTATTGTTCGTTTCACTTAGATAAAAAGAGATTCGAGGCACACTTTATCATTCCTATATATTCCATACCATTTTCTATACTTGATAAACATACTTTTTATTTAACACGTCGCCATTGATTTTTAAGATGAGTATCTATACTATCATATCGTTTTTCGATAAATTTGTTGTGCAAGAGGATGAAATGAAAAACATAATGAAAATACTACATATTATTGTTTCAAAACTACTTATATACAACGTTGATAACAGTTTAATGAATTATTTTACTTTTCCTAATTTACTTTCTTTGATAGTTGCAAAAGTCTAGGATGGAATTGTTTTATGAACCATTGTCGCAGATTGTTTTGTATCAGATATTTCTTGGTGTTAAATCCTTGAATGTTTTTCTTGTTTTGAGTTGAATCTCATTTTTATTATTTGATACACATTTATTTTCATGTACTAGCGTACAATAAGCTTATGGTAATTGTCTTTTATCAGTTGATGATCAAATCAAATGGGAAAATCAAATGTGATTACTCGTGCTTGTAAAATGAACGTCCGCTTCTTAAGTGAATAGTATTTAATCGATCCTTCAGATGAAAGAATTAACATTGAATTATGATATAGAATAATGCCATATTAGTACTTAAATCTTTTTAAATTTTGAATTTTATGAGAAAATAACATACCTATTTGTAAATATAAGTAAATAAAAACTGGCCGTATGACGATTAATAGCTATGATACAAGGTAAAAAGAAAAAGGTCGAAGATAATTACTCGAGAATAATAAAGTAAAATATAAAGCAATTAGTTAAAAGATTTTCTTCAGGAAATTTTTGATATTATTTTCATTTTTTGAATGAGAAAGAAGAACACAATTAAATCTGAAAAAATGAACCATTTATCATTTATTGATAATAACATTTATTAGTAAGAGAGCAACGAAGAATCAGTATGCTCTCTCTGCCTCTTTTATTGAAACAAAAATAAATGTGATATATATATCTCATTTTAATGATTATTTACTATTAGAAAACTATACGAAAAGGTTACACTTCTCTTTATTTCGAATTTTATCCAATTCTATTTGCAAATAAAATTTGATATTATCTATATTTGATGTTGAGCAATTAATATTCTAGCGGCATAATATTTAGGGTTGATTGTTAGATTAAAAAATGATACACTGAATTCAAAAAGAGAACATTAATTACATTTACACAAAATTGTATCTTTTGATGCCAACAAGTCCGATTTAGATCTGATTCAGTGAGTAGAACAACCAATTAAACCCACATCGTTTGCTATATCTTGTATGATACGGAATGAAAACTAGAGCTTTCATTACCCAGGTCGATCAAAGCGGATATCGTTTACGGTCCGTTTTATGAAAGTAAACGGTAGGAAAACGGCATCTTTACGGTAGTAAACTGTCCGTATTTTCCCGTAGTACTGGATGCAGTAATACGGCCTATATACGACTCGTATATAGGCCGTATTACTGCATCCAGTATCATGGCCGTATACGGTCCGTTTAGATATCGTTTTTTCACCGTAAACGGCCGTATACTGACCGTATTTCTGGCATGGGATACTTGCAGTACTATGAAGAAATTTTATTTTTCAAATAAAAAAAGAACTGATTTTTGTTTAACCAAAATTCTATCTAAGTGAAGTTCATTGAAGACTAGTGGAATGTTGATATCTTAGATTCTTCACAATATCTTATGCATCGAAAAAGTGATTCTCAAAATGGATATGATGGTAAAAACTGATCCGTACTTCAAGTATTATTCATAATTATTACCTAGCTTCCTTTCAAAAAATCTTGTTATCATTATTGAGTGTGGAAAGAAATGTCTTTTTTGTTTATGATGAGATGAAATATTTTTATGGCAAAGAAAAGTGCTTTTAGGTATAACATGAAGAGAAAAAAACTTTTTCTGACAGGAAACACGCTTTTCTTCGATTAAGCAAGTGAGCTATTAAATTGTTTGTTGGATCTAAATAGGCAATATAGCATTGATTAAAAAAAATAGATATTCACTTACCGACTACAAGCAATAGATGAGTTTGATTTCAATTTTGTTTCGTATTAGGAACCTTTTTAGTTAGTATAAATTTTACTTCATTTGACAGAATGTGTCCAACTTCAGCTGAAAGAAGAAACAATACTTTTGTAGCATCCCAATATATATAGGTTCTTTCCCATGTAATAAAAACCGCACGAAAATCGGCGGTTAACCGCGGTTTTACCGGTCCAGTTACCGGCTTTCATTAGCGCAGAACGGATAAATACCGCGGTTTACCACAAAAAATGAACTGGCATTTACCGCGGTAAACCGCCGGTTTTGATTAATACCGCGGTTACCGCTAAAAAAAGCGGTTAACCGGCTCATCTATAATTTTTGACAGAAAAATTCTTCCAAATCATCAATTAAACTATTTTAAAGATCCTTTTCTTTTACTTTTACATGCGATAAACATGCGCAAAAAACGCCGGTTTACCGCAAAAATTGATCCGGTATTCGCAACATGGGTTGTTTTCTTTTTTACCTGGGTGATTGAATACGGTCACCAGATACGGGTCAGAGATGCCACTAGGCCGGCCTGCAGGTCAGCAAAAAAATTTATTTTTTAACTGTAGCCTCGCCTGATTCGTCCACATAATATTGAACCAGGTTAACAGACTATGCCAGCTCAAAGTTATTGACCTGATGCAAGTCTTTTTTGAATGAAAATATTGATGATGATTTGTCTTTTTTATTGATTTACTATTAAATTGATACAAAAAGATCATACAAAAAAGACTTCAATCAGGTCAATAATTTTGAGTTGGCATAGTCTATTAACATGGTTCAATATTATATGGACGGATCAGGCGAGGCTACAGTTAAAAAAAAATTTTTGCTGACCGGCTTGGTGGCATCTCTGATACGGGCCATATATGGCCATATACGAACCGTATTGTTCGGCCAGGGTAGCGTTAGTATCATTGTCACCGAGAATAATCAATGAGGTTACTGTCGGTAAACGATCTACTATTTGAGCTTTAATGATTTGTGGTATCTGACCAGGCTTAGTAAAAGTTATTGTAATTGAATAATGCTACAGTAATATTACGGTTTGATCGCTATAAGCTACCTTGACGCCTATTTGTCTTGACATCTTCAAATATTTTTGGACGTCAACAAATTGCAAATTTTGGTTTTCTCTTCTCACTACTTCAAAGTGCAGATGCGTACGTAAAATGAAGCCAGTTAAAATCTCAGTTAGATAAATTTCATTTTAAAAATTAGCAAATTGTACTTTGGCCCTTACGATTGACAGCTTTAAATAAAGAAGTCTTTTGGTTGTTTAATAATAAGATACCCAGGTCCATCATTCAGATCAAATGAAACGGTCAAGAAACGGCGTAGTTAATGCTCTAAACGATGAAAAACGACCGCCGTTTTTCGTTAGCTCGAATTACGGGTCATTTTTCTTCGGAACATTAACGACATCATTTAAGGCCATGTCCGATGGCAAAGTTCGAATGATAAAAGGACTCCATTTTTCCTCTTTACCGTCTAAATCTCGCTGTTTTTCACCGTATCACATCGTTTTCCGGTGCTTCTTTGCTAACCATCATAACGGTTGCTATTTTTCAGTCGTTTAGAAGAGTTTACGAACCGTCATATATAACATGAGTAGACTGACTCCCACATCCTCAGGTCGTCTATAGAGTCTGTACACAATCTACGTTTTGTCCTGCAATTCTCTGTATGCAATCACGACAATATGTGACCGTAATACTGGACGATGTAAAACGCTAAAAGACGACCGTGTACGGTTGTGTAGGAAGCGTCTACGGTCTTTTACAGTCGTTTACGGTCGCATATGAAGTCTGTAATCGTCAACCTTGGTTGAAGGTACAAAGTTTTCTAGAATCGAAATCTTTTTTAACATGTTTGTTATTATTCGAGACGGAGAAGAAAATACGTTTCGTTCCATATGGTAACAGGTAAGAATAGTCATTCTATTATTCTTTTAATGTCTTTTTTATTTACAGTTTTTTTGATCAAGTACACAAACGAAAAGATCAACGACTTCCGCATATTAAAGCTGATCTTTTAAGTATGTCGTTACATGATCGTTATGTGATCGTTCAGCCAAATTCATTATTACATTCGGTAAGTAGATTATTCTTTCTGTTGTTGTATAATAGCTAGACGTATTTTTCACCTTTTTGGTTCGGTGCCATATTTCGATGATACTTATGTAAATATTATTTGTTTTAATATTTATTCAATTTATTTATGCTAATTAAGTTACATTTGGCGAGGAGACAAGAGGCATGTATCTATACTAAATGAACTTTACCAAAAAGGTATGTCTTTCAACGGTCTTTGTTAATGTAACTACAATACTTCTTAATTTGATGTATTCATGATGTTTTTTGTGGCAAACTTGTTAATCTTAGTTAACAAACTGCTACTGTCGAGGCTATTCAAAATTATATTCTCTTTAGTGATGTTTAAACTGGTACTCTATATGATAGTTTTATTGATCTTCAAGTTGGTGATGTTGATGCTGGGAACAATGAAACAATCTCGTGATACTATTTATCGTGCTGGAATATCGATTCGTGGTGGCCTTAATAATGCTCAACTTCGTGGTACACCTATGGATAAAAAACCCCATCGATCAAAACGGGTCATCATAAACCACCGTAATCATAAGCGGGCGTTACTGTACCGTATTCCACCGTGAATGACCATGTTTTTATCGTATTGTGCCGCTACAGCACAGTCAATATTACGGAACATACACAACACCGTATTCGTATCGTAAATGTTCTTAAAAAATATCTTACTACTGTTGTAATCTATCACAGAATCAACCATCTTACTGTCCGTTTCATTCGATCGAGTTATTGTTATATACACCGATGGTATAAAAGACTGAATCTTTCTTTCATATATCAGATGCCATGTTTTATTTATAAGAATAAAAACTTACTCATATCCCTAGTTTTCAAAAGAGATGCTGTTTGGTGATATGATCACTTTTCGGTGTAGGTGTTACTAGATCGACGCTCACATCCATTGACTAAAGTTCTCTTTTACCGGTGAAGTTAAAAAAACCTAAATCCCTAGAACACACCAAATAATATCCTGTGTCAACGATTATTCTAAGATAGATGAGATGTCAGTGCTTTATCAGAGGATATATTTTCTAAAATTTGACGATATGTAAGCGTACTTTGGTTCGCTATGAATTGAGTAAGTATTCGAAGTAAATGAAAACTTTGGAAGAACTTCAACGAAAAAAGACTTTTCAAAATTCAGACTCTATTTATCACATTTATTCTCATTTTCATTCGGGGGTTCTGTTGAATAAAAACACGAATCTGATTTTTACTAGAGAAATTTACCATTAAGTAAATACGAAATCTTTTTAGTATCTGAATAGAAATACTAGCAAAATAGACGAGTCCATTAAAATCGAAAATTTCGAAGATTACTCAGTTTCTAAAATTCTTTTCTCCCCAGGAGAATGATTCCGATAGTGAGATCCTATCGGATTCGTGTCGGAATCTTATCGGATATAGTATGAATTTAATTAAACCGACGAAATCCTATCGATATCTTGAGGGTGTGGGACCTACAATCGGAACCCTAGTGTTGGAATCCGACAGGTCCCGGTGTCGGAATTTAACGGAATCCAACATAAATCGACCCATGTGTTCTGTTGGCACCATATGCTTATTCATCGATGATTAAGAAAATGCTTTTTTCCGTCGGATCCGTTAGTAGGTCCGTGACCAGGAATCTGATCGGATTTTGTCGGCTTGTCGGATTCATTCAACTGGGGATCGTACGAAATCGTGTAATTAGATGAAAAATAGGTTTATAATTGTCATATTTGGTGGAGTTAGTTACTCATGTTCAATGTCGTCGTCCCCCCCTCCTCCTCCCTTAGGGATGTAACAGTTCTCAGATCTAAGGAACTATCTGAACAGTACTTTTGATAGAAATAGAAACTAACACTGAACTGTCATACTCCTACCTCCCTTTGTGAGAGAGTAGATGGCGCCACATAATTTGTTAAATTATTATTCCTTTTCTAAAAATATGATAAATATTTAACTAATTCTTGATCATAAATACATTTTTTTTTCTTTTTATATCAAGAAATTTTTAATTAAAAAAACGGAGGCTGCTTTGTCATGGCTATGCAAGATTATTATTATTTTTTTGTTTGTTGTTATTTTATGATTCATATGACTTTTCCTTGTTTCATCATTACTCGTGACATATATATATATCTATACACATATTGACCGACACTTTCATAACTCCTTTATAGATTGTAAAAACACCGTATCTGGTTAGACTAAAAATCACTGCATCATCATCGTTATTCGTCGTATTCAACGATTTCTTCTGGCGTCTCGTTGATTGTCGTCATCGTCGTCGATTGTTCAATAACTTTCCTTTCTAGTTTGCGTGTGTGCGTGTGGCATTTTTTCACAGAATAGTTGAAATAGTGTTTGTTTTTACTCTGCTAATTTTGATTTCTCATCTTACAACGATAAAAAAAATAAACGGCGTGTATCAGTTTTATTTCTGTATCACTGTATCTTTAATTGTCTATTGAAAAAATCATGTCGATCATTCGATATCGATTTAAAGCAGACAAAAATTTTGAATCAGTAAATATCGATGGTATGAATTGTTCTCTTGGAGAACTTAAACGTTTAATTGCTGCAAAATTATCACGTTCAGGAAGTTACTATCCTAAAGATGATTATGATTTGATCATAAGCAATGCCAACACTCATGAAGGTTCGTTAGAAATTTTTTTATCTCGCTAAAATTATTATCCTCTCTTTTGTCCAGAATATAGAGATAATTCGGATTTAATACCTCGTAATGCAAGTGTTATCGTCGCTCGACGTATGCGTGGAGCAGTTGATACATTAACACCATTATCACATCAAAAACCGGTTGCTTCATCAGACGATATCGTGAAAGAGTAAGATTATTTTACTAGTTGAAAAAATAATTAAAGTCTTTATTTTCCTTCCTTCTTTCGTATCGTAGTATTCTTCTACCTGCCATTATGCATCACAATCAAAATGCTGCAACAATGTCAGGAACATCATCATCAACGGTTGAAACAAATATGGCTTCGGTGAAAAAGAATCCAGAAGTACATACACGATTAGAATAAAACATTTTAACTAAATTTTTCAATATTCTAGTCGACAAGTAATACATCATCATCATCAAAAGAAATGACTGAAGGTGAATTAATTAAAGAAATTCAAATGGGTTCTCAAGCTCGTTATGTGTAAGATATTCTTGTCTTCCTTTTTTCCTTCAACTGAATACTCTAATTCACATGGTCTATTTTTTTTTATAGAACACCACAACCATCGTATCGTACAAATCTATTTGTTTGTCATAATTGTAAACAGCCTGGCCATATAAAAAGTCAATGCCCTTTGATGCTGGTAGGTTTTTAGGTTTGAATCGATGTAACATAGAGTAAAGATTATTCACCCTGAACAGTTTTTTGTATTGAGTAATTCCCCGGAAATGAGCCCTTTGTTGTCATGAATAGTATGTATTTTGCTTTGCTCTATTAACAACGAAAGCCGTTGTAATGCACACAGCAGATGTTTCAGCATTCACATGCAGAACAGCAAAAGGAATAATGTTATCTGCATTGTATTATGATAAGGAGTCGTCGGATACATATGATAAAAAGAAAGACTAGTCACGAACATTGAATAGAGACAAAAAAAAATTAAACAAATGCAACAATATTCATTGTAACATCTTATTTTCTTCGTTTAATCAACTTTGTAAAGTGAAAGGATTTTAGCTTGTGTTGCTTTGTGTTGAAAGTAAATATTTGAATAAAATAATTATTAAAAACAAAACAAAATAAACATTGCATAATGTTGGTGAAAACTTCTTCCGCGAAGTCTAATAAATACTAATACCAATGGTGCGTAGATTGGTGATTTTATTGTATATATTCAACTCAGTCCTGCTTGATGTTCTTATTTTTTTCTTATTTTTTTAAAATGTATATTAATTTATTCAATCATTCATAATAAACAATCCTAGAAACAATCATAATACATTTATATACACACAATTCACTTTATAACTATAGAAATAATAATCTTTTAATAATCAATGAGTTTTTATATGACATTTTTTGAATTTTCAGCAATCATCCAATTCGAATTCGAGTGGTAATACCTCGAATATATCATCATCAGCAAATGATGCATCCTTGTCAACAAATTCAAATTCTAATAGACAATCTCACGCACATCCATCACATATTGTTACACGCAATGCACCATATCCGATGTCCTATCATCGTGGAAATCGTGGTCACCGTGGTGCTGGTCACCCACGTGGCGAACCACAACCTAAGAAAACTACAGGTATCCCACGTGATCGTCTTATTCCGGTTCCAAAACATATACCTGGTGCACTGAGAGATCAAACTGGCACTTCAGTTGTACCAAAACCAATGGCGTAAGTCAATCAATGTTAATAAATGAAAAACAAGAAATTTCCATTTTACGAATCATCATCATGAGCAAAAAGAATTATTAAGAGCAGAATTTAAATTGCATTCAATTTTTAAATTGAAATTGAGATGAAACTTTTCTCGCTTTTAGGCTATGCAAAAGTAGCTTTAGTCAAAAACTAAGATTGTATTTTCATGCTTTGACTTAGAATTAGTTCATGACTGTGATACTTGAAATTTTTTCGTATTTAATCATACATCTTTAGGCATTCAACTTATCAACAAGATATTATGTAAAAGTAAATGGCGGAAATCCTTGTTGTAAAATAAATTTCTTTTTCAACACCTATATTTGCTCATGATGTTGAATCATTTCGATTAAAGTGAAAATTATCGGCAACTTCTGATCAAAAACATGTTCGAAATATTTCTAATTGTGTGGTTATTGTTTTAGAGAACTATTTGTCGCCAGAATCGAAAAAAAGAAAGATGCATTAGCTCTATTGGCACAACAGACCGATGAGAAAGGTGTTTCATTGCCGATATCGTCGTCATCAAAATCGACTGATAATGAACTTCCACCTAATGATCTTCTTTGTCCTCTATGTAAACAAGTTTATAATGATGCTGTTATTACACCGTGTTGTAATCTAAGTTTTTGTGATGACTGTAAGATAAATAAAATTTTCCATAATAAATATAGATTTATTAATTTTTGGTTTGAATAGGCATTCGTACAGCTTTGATTGAAAGTTCTGAACATGAATGTCCTCATTGTCATTGTCAACATGTAGCGATTGATCAGATAAATCCAAATTTATATTTACGAAATCATATCAAACGTTGGTACGAAGGGCAGAATCAATCGTCGTATTCAAATTTGTCTCAATCACAACATTCAGCTCATACATTAGATCAAGATGTTGATACAACACCAACAAGTCATCAAAGCTCTAATGATGTTGATGAGTATGATCCAACCACTCCACAACAACCTGTTGTTCCAATCAAAACAGCACCTATTATTATAAAAATGCAATCACTTGGAAAAGCACAATCACCACCACCACCACCAATTGTTTCAACTCGACCAGCTGATATGACATTTGAAGATGAAAAAACATCTGAAATAGATCAAACAATACCGAAGTTTGTTATTTTAGTTTTTATAATTCTATAAAATAATTTTTAAATTTATTTCAGTCAAAAAGATGTTAGCGTAATGGAACAAACAACAGAATCATTTTCATCATCGACTATTAATGACAGTAAGTCATTGAATTTTCGTTTTATCCATTACGATCCAAATAAAAAAATTTTGTAGTATACAGACTAACCTTTTTGCTTTCACCATAAATATTTTTGTTATCAATTAAATATGAATAACCTTTCGCTCTAGAGCGCATATCAGTCAGTTTTGCTTATTGGATTCTTTGCACATTAGGTAAAGAAACGATGAAAACATGAATTGTAAAATAAATGCAGCAAACTTATTATTTAGAGATTTTGAAAATACATTAAATCTTACCACCTGAAATTTTAACTTCATTGTACTCGTTCGAATAGGTTTTTCTCTAAATTTCTCAAATTTATTTTTTTTCAAGTTGAGAAAGCAGAACGTGAAATTCCGTCATCTCAAGTTGCATCTGTAAACACAATTTATTCGTCACCATCACTTGCAACAACTATCGCACCAACAAATCCTGTTATTCCTCATTATTATTCAGTCCCTCCACATCAAAATGTTATGTATCCTCATCATATTCCACCAACAACATCCAACGGTCTTTATCAAATACAGCCGTAAGTGTCTTTGCTCAACGACGGAGAAAGAACCATTTTTGATTTTTTTAACTTAGAAATTATTATCCACCACCAATGGGAGTTCGTTATCCACCTGCTGGTATGCATCATTATCCTGCATATGCACCAGCTCCACCAATTCATCACCATCATCATCCTCCACCACCACCTCCTCCAATTGTTGCTCCACCACACATTTCGACAAATGGATACAATCTACCTGCTTTTCATCCTCATACAGCTGCACCGTATACATCAACGTCAACATTTATTGCTCATCATCAAACGGCAACTCAACCAATATCTACAGCGCTTTCGGAAAATGAATTTTATATGAAACAACGATATTTTCAACGAATGTAAGAATCTATTTTCATTGTTTGATGTTACAACATTTATTTTTTAAACTTTAGCCAACAGTCCCCTAGTCGTCGTCGTTCGCGTTCTTCGTCGTATTCATCTTATTCAAGCAGGTAAAATAACTTTTATTCTTTTAGAATAAAAAAAAAATGAAGAATCATTTCATGTTTTTTCAGTGATTCTCGTAGCTCCTCACGGTCACGTTATAATCGTCGTCGTCGATCATCTCGTAGTCGAAGTCGTCATCGTGTAAAATCACCAGTACGAGATAATCGTCGTCAGCGACGATCATCTTCTTATCGAAACCGACGAAGACCCATTGACAGTAAAGACAAGCCATCATCAAAATATCGACGGTAAACATTGAGGAAAAAACAAAACATATTCTTTTCTAAATTCGATTTCGAATAGATCACCACCACCAAGACCATCTCGAGATAATGAGAGACGGCGTTCGCCTCGTCCACCACCTACTATTCAACAATCTACACAACGTACGATTGTCTATTTACAAGAATCTTCACATTCGAGGTAGCGAAAAAACTTTTTGGAAATTGATTTCCTATTGACGATATTAGTTTGTTTAGTCGAGATCGTCGTCGAACAAGAAGTCGTTCACGTGAAATTGATGATCGTGTTAATTCTTCATCGAAAAAAGAACAACAACCACAAGCAGAACCAAAAGTTTCTTCGTCTGCTTCACCCTCAGTACGAGCACCGACAACTCTTTCGTCGAAAATTGAAACTGTGGTAGAAGAAACACTGGGAAAAGTTCAAGAAGAAAATTCCAAAAATGGGAAAAAGCATAAGAAACATAAAAAACATCGTCATTCAAGTTCGAAAAGTAAAAAGCGTCATCGAAGTAAAGATAAAGACAAAAAGACCATCGTTGATACAACAACATCTGTCATTGAAATTCATTCATAATAACTAATTTTGCTTTCTCATGTTATATATATATATATATATTATGTCGGAAAGAATTCTTTTCATGTATTTGTTTTTTCTGTTCTATTTGTTAATTTGTTTTTTTTTCGTTTTCGCCAGAAAAATAAAGTATATTGATGAAACGCTATCTCAATTTACAAGTTTTTGATTGAAAATATGAAAAACCTAATATTATGATTTTAACAGAATGCTTTCGAAATTTCAGTAGAACCTTGAAAATGAATAAACATCTTTTCAATTATATTTTAATCATATATAATATTTTCGTTCTTATCATCTAAATCCTTCACCGTGACGTGTTTCAGCAACAATGTACACAGTATGTCCGACAGAAATAACCTTGGAATAAGAATAATATTGTGCAGATCTATTTTACGATCATTCCAATTAGCTTTCGTGTTAAAACACAGTCAAAAATAAGCGAAATAAAAATGTAAGAAATTTTTTTCACACAAATGGGAATATTTCTTTTCGACTGATAGGAATAGATATTACTATTTCATGAATTGAATATAATTTTTAAAAGCATACTTATCAAGTGTTTCTTTTTTTCATTAATTATTCTTGAAATTTTATTCAATCATGTTTTTTATTCTTCATTATGATTTCGATATGCATTCATCATCTAAATCAATGACTTGACAGTGATGCTTTTCCATTAATCTTCTTCAATCAGTGAAACCTGAAATATTCATCGTATTGAGATCAATATTGGCTATATATATATATATATATATATATAAACTGCTGAGGATATTGCATTCCATAGAAAAAAAAGTTAATTAATGACTTTTCACTTAATTTTTTCGGCAAATAATACTATTGATCAAATTTTGTTGTGGTATTAATATTAGAAAAATTCAATATGACTATTTTTATGCACTTGTAAAGGATAATTAACAAAATAAATCAGACAACCGATATCAATATATCCATAGCGTGACTTCACAAGTTCACTTAAAATTTCCTGGCACTGTGTCGTGACTGAGTATCTCTTAATAAATTGTTATTGACTAGTCATGTTCTATGGCAAGATAATTTCGATCTATAATTAAATCTTTCTACAATGACAATTTGTAGCAACTAATAGAAATTGAGTTTGTGAACAAAAAGGAAATCAAGGTTTTTACTGTGAATCATATATTGTTAAGTAATACAGCTATAGGATTTCCATTTATCTGCCATTTCAATAACAAATAATTGTCGCGAATATTCAAATAATATTTGCCTTCAGAATTAGACCATTGCAATATTTCAAATATCTTCTTGGCCTTTTTTTTCTTAAATCAGAAAAGCCAATGTTTAACAAAAAACATTTTGAAATCTGACAAATTTAACAACAACGTAAATTTAAGAAATGTAATCAGAGTTTTTCGAGTATTTTTTAAGTAATTTCAGAATCATAAATATAATTCACCGGTATTTTGAATGATTTTCAAAAAAGGAATCAAACTTCATTTTAATATAGTAAATTACTTTGAAATGGTACGTGGATTTTGTAGAAAAACTGGAACAGAGAAAAAATTTCTTTCTTCTATTAATGTTTAATTATCAATATCATTCTTGACTTCGATAAATATAAAATGAACGAGTTTATGCGAATTAACCTTCGACTAATGTTTCTATCAATCATACTAAAACAACTGTGGAAACTATGTTTTCATCATTATCTTCTAACGCCTTACTCCAGCAATATATCAGAAACCTCTACAACTAGAAATACTAAACTTACTAAAAAGCTTACAATAAGGATTGCAACTCTTACTGTAATTGATTTTCAATATGTGGCATCAACTTTTTCTGTCAAAATTTTGTTGAATAATAAAAATAAATATCAAAGATATGGTAGAACAGAAAACTGAAGTTATGATGTTAATTCATGCATTTGTCTTCTTTTTGAATATATATATTCATAAATGAACGAATTCTATACTTTATCCTATAGAATGAAATGTAATAATTCTAACCAACGCAATCATTTTCTGCGAAGAATGAGTTCATGATACTCTTTTGTTTTATCGTATCATTTTGAAAACTTATACTGCTGAATCCTTCATATCAATTGATATTATAATTTTTTTTTAATATTTAACATTCATTCGACACAATAATATGTTGTGGCCGATTCAATTTTAAGTACTTTAGTTATAATTAAGTGTAATGGTCTTGACATTTTTCTTTGTCGCTATCTCTTTATTCATACATCCCACCAATAATATTTTATGTCCAAGCTCTTCAAGAGGATTACTCATTTCCATGAATAAGTATTACATAGTGAATAATATTCATTTCAGAGATAACGATTATTTAACAATCTAGATAGCATTAGTGTGCCAATGGCAAGACATTTTATTGCCGAAACGGTCTTATGACAAATAGCGTCCTCTCTTCTGTTTCTACATTTGATTGGTGCATTATGCATTAACATGGATGTAATAATGATAAATTAAAAAAACTCCTGAATGGTCGGTCGGTTCGTGCTTCTCGACGAACAAACAGATGATCTTTTGTTCTCTTTCGTTTTTATGAGTATTTTGGATGTATTGACCATTCAACAATATGAAAGTGTATAATCGTTTATTTAGTTTGTAGATAATGTGGTGACTTGAACAAAGAGAATAATACTATGGGTTGTTGTTTTTCAAAAAAAGATCTATTACAACCGGCCTCCGAACTCAAAGATATCAACATACAAATTTTGAATAAATCAAAAGATGGTCCAACTACTTCAGAAAACCGTACCAGTAAATCCAATCCAAATGGTTTGTTTACTCATTCATTTTACGATAAAGAAATCCCGATTTCAACTTGGATTGAGTGAATCAAAGTAGTTTTGATTCATTTTGGTAGATGGATACGTCACGAAAAGATGCTTTAATAATAATAATAATATAATCTTTAGACGACAGGATCCCATGACTATTGTTTTTGACTTAAGAAAATAGTTTCTGTCTTTATTTTTATTTTTGAAAAAAGCGTTTTCAATGATGGATAATTGAAAAATGATAAGGAACTACCTTGTGACTCTGTATTATTTTTTCCTCTTATATTTCAGTTTTCGATAAAAACTTTATTTCAAATTTGAATTTATATCTAGCCGAAATAAAATTCAAAGTAAACTAATTCGTGTAACAAATTTTAGAATTCTTTTTTCTTTAGTGCCCAGTAGACATTCTACTTTTGATATCTGCATATTTCAGCAGCATCAATGTAACAGGGATTATATCTTGACTTAACTTCACCTTCATGTCAATAATTAGAAATTATGGTTTTATCGAAAAAATGGCACCAGAAGCGAGGAATGCAGTATCTTAGTCTAATTCCCACTAATAAACGAGTTCTGGCATTTATAATTTTTTTCCGAGTCAAAGATACTCTCTTTGGCTGCTCTAAAAGCGGTTAGCTTGGAAGTTTCGATTCATCTGTATGACCTTCATAGACATTGCTTGTTAAGAAATAAGAAAAAAACCCAATTTTTTTTTGTACTGAAAGAAATCTATGATAGCTATAATGCGAGTGTCCATGAGTTTGAAATTAGAAAAAAAATCTGAGGTCTTTTTTTATGATTTAAAAAACTAAAATCAGCTCAAATGTTCATTGTAGTAGAGAGATTCTGTTAGTTATATACCATCTAGTTATTTTTTGTCTTCTCTTTATAAATACATCGATTTATTACTAATAGGTACTGAAAACATCCGATCAAAACAACCAGGCGGCACTGATAAAGTCTATGTAGCTATATATGATTATGATGCACGTACCGATGAAGATCTAACATTTCGTGTTGGCGATTTACTTCTTATTCTTGACGATAGGTATAATTGATTTCATTCTAATTTTTGAAAACAAAATTCTTGGTACACATTATTTTTTATAGTCAAAATGATTGGTGGCTTGCTAAACATTATAATAGTGGTTTAAAAGGGTACATTCCAGCTCTTTATGTTGCTCCACATGGCGGTCTTGATGTGAATGAGTAAATATCTTCATTTTGTTGTTCAATTAATCAAGAAAAATAATATTGGAATTTTTCCTTTTTTAAGATGGTTTCATAAAAATGTTCTTCGAAAAGAAGCTGAACGACTTTTATTGATACCATCAAATCCACGTGGAACATATCTTGTTAGAAATTCAGAAAATGCTCCTGGTTAATTTTATATTCCAATTTAAATCTTCTGTTAATTGTTTTAATTTCAGGTCCCTATTCGTTATCTGTACGTGATGTAGACGAACAACGTGGTCCACATGTGAAACATTATAAAATTCGATATCCTGATCCAAAAATCGGTTATTATATTGCAACTCGTCGTACATTCAAGACACTAGAAGAATTGATTGAACATTATTCAAGTAAATTTTGTTTTTATTGTGTGAATCATAATAATAAAATATTGTTGTTTTCTAATTAGAAAATTCTGATGGTCTCTGTTGTCAATTAACACTTCCATGTTCAAGACCAAAACCAACAACCTCAACAATATCGAAAGATGTTTGGGAAGTACCAAGAAATTCATTGCAATTTATAAAAAAACTTGGCCAAGGAATGTTTGGTAAAAATCGAATTTTCTTTTTTTAAACATTTTTTCATTTGAATTGGATTTTCAGGTGAAGTATGGGCTGGAAAATGGAATAATAAAATTGATGTTGCAATAAAAACAATGAAAGCTGGTACAATGTCAACAGAGGCTTTTGTTGATGAAGCAAATATTATGAAAAAACTACGCCATGATAAACTTGTACAATTATATGCAGTTTGTACTGAGCCTGAAGATCAACCAATTTATATAGTTACTGAACTTATGGCCAATGGAAGTCTATTAGATTATCTTCGTGATGGACTCGGACGTGAACTTAAATTGCCGCCACTTGTTGATATGGCTGCACAGGTAAGAAATTATTCACAAGAAATTATTCATTATTACTTGTTTTTTTTCTAGATCGCTTTTGGTATGGCTTATCTTGAACATGAACATTATGTAAGACTATAGGATTGATGAGTTAAAATGAATTCAAATCGCTCTTTTTTCTTGTTGTTATATTTTATCAGATTCACCGAGATTTAGCAGCACGTAATGTTCTGGTTGGAGAAAATGGAGTTGTGAAAATTGCTGATTTTGGTCTTGCTCGTATTATTAACGAAGATCAATATGTTGCTAAAGCTGGTTCGTTTGATTTTTCAATTTTCTTAAAAAGATTTTAAAGAAACAAGATTTGGTTTTATTCTGAGAAAACTATGAAATCAAATAGAAGAAAAAAAGAGTAATCCAAACTTGAGATAATTATTTATAAGATAACACGTATGAGTGATTTCTAGGGAAAAGCTCAATTAAATCAAAGACTTGGTTTTGAAAGACAATTGTTCGTATCTTTATAAATTACTGAATTGTAATAATTTAGAGATGAACTTTCACATATTTAAGAAAGAAAGAAATTCTTTTTTTCGTATATTTTACAACGTTTAAATTACATGGTCAGCATAAATCGATAAGTTTCGATCATTCATGAAAATTACCAACGATTTTGAATGGTCTAGTATGTTATTTAATGCATATTAAGATTGAAGAAGTCTTTAAAAAGATCATGAAACTTTTATAGTGAAATATTGAATTCTAATTATTTCGTTCAAATACTTGCTGAAATTGCTTATCTAAACTACTACTATTCTCAAAGGTTTTTCTTTTAAGAAAATAACGATTAATTTAATTCGAAACGTTGCATATTTAGAAGTTAATTGAATATTTAACACATTCTCATCATATCTTTTTAAATCACTAGAACGTTTGTCTGAATAATTTCTATTATTTGATAAAACAAACAAAAAATATTTGCTTCATTTTTTTTCTGTTTTATTCAAGTATGAATCATAATCAGTAATGTAATCATTTTTAGGAGCAAAGTTTCCAATAAAATGGACTGCTCCCGAAGCAGCTATCTATGGAAAATTTACAATCAAATCCGATGTATGGTCATACGGTATATTGCTCTATGAACTTGTTACACATGGACAAGTGCCTTATCCTGGTATAAATAAAATAGTATTTCATAGAATGCATTGTGTTTTATTTTTGTCTATTTTTCTAATTAGGAATGGCTAATCGTGAAGTTCTTGATCAAATTCAACGTGGTTATCGAATGCCACGTCATGAAAATTGCCCAGATAAAATTTATGATTATATGTTACGATGTTGGGATTCATCACCTGATAATCGTCCAACATTTGAGGTATTGGATTTATTTTGTTTACTTATTTCAATTCTTATTTATTTATTTATTTAGCATTTGCATTTATTCTTTGATGATTATACAACATCAGCTGGTCCTCAATATCATAGCCAAAATTAAGCTACTATCAATTTTCGAGTTTTGCTATCTTTTCTCAGGATGTTTCTTTTTCTTGCTTCCACTAATCAGAATGAATTTAGAGAAACAAACAAGTGACTGTCTTACAGAAATATTTTATTTCAATTAGTTTAAATTCTAATGTATATTTACAAAATGTACTTCTAAATTTGTCGTTTTCTTCTATTAGCCAGATATATCTTCAATAAGAAAAGCTTATTCATGACAAAACTTATAGAATTCTGTGCATCTTTTTTTTTATTGTCCGTGGTATGAATGTATAAATGAGTGATTTATTATTGTTGTTTTTTTGCAAGAAAAAAAATTAATAAATTTGGTAAATGATAATCGTTCTGTTTTGTTTTCAGATGGCCACTACATCTTTAACGCAAGAAAAAGTTCATAAAGCTAAATTGTCTATTGAGAATTTCTATGCAAATTTAGTTAATCAATATGAAGAACGTGAAGAAAGGTAAATCCGTTGATTTTTTCAAACGAATTTTCATCTTTATATAAATAGATATCGTCGATTGGAAGAAATGATGAATGCTGAAGGACTATCTGAACAAGAAGTAAACTTTAAAAAAAGCAACAATCTTAAACTATGAATCATATTATTATTTCTTTCTTCTTCGCTTTTTTTGACAGAAACTTGAAAAACGTCATTCCCATGCAGCAAAAGAAACTGAATATTTACGTTTAAAACGTGTTAAAATGAGTGCCGATGATTTCGAACCATTGAAAGTAATTGGTCGTGGTGCTTTTGGAGAAGTAAACAAACTTTTTAGAATTAAATTCAATAGTTTTAAAATTCAATTGAGGTTCGTCTTGTACAAAAACGTGATACGGGACATATATATGCAATGAAAATTTTACGTAAAGAAGACATGTTATTACGTGAACAAGTAGCACACGTACGTGCTGAACGCGATGTTCTTGTTGAAGCTGATCATACGTGGACTGTTAAAATGTTTTATTCATTTCAAGATACAAGAAATTTATATTTGATTATGGAATTTCTTCCTGGTGGTTAGTTATTTATGAAAAGAATAAATATTGTTTTATTCATAGATATTATTTTAGGTGATCTCATGACATTATTAATTCAAAAAGAAATTTTTAGTGAGGATATGACACAATTTTATGTTGCAGAAACAGCAGAAGCTATTGAATCTATTCATCGATTAGGATTTATTCACAGAGATATCAAACCAGATAATCTTTTACTCGATGGCAAAGTAAATATTTAAATGAATTATATAATGGTTTAGTTTATTTAAAATAACAATGAAGATTAGCAATAGTTTCATTCGTTTCTTAATACTATTCTTCTTGTTCTCTTTTCATGTCATATAAGATATATATTTCGAATATAACAATGAGAAAAACAATCAGTATTAAATGTCTTTCATTTGTATCAATGAAAAATGTATATTTCCTCGATATTAATATAGAAAATTCATTGAAAATTTATATTCTACTACAGTTAGAGAGAATTTATTTTTAAATATCAAATTATATAAGATCACATTTCAATGCAAGACGCACTCTAGAGTTTATTTAGATTAGCTTTTTCTTTTAAAATGAGAATCAAATATTTTCTTTTAAAAATCTGTTAATGGCATTCATGCCTAAAAGTAATATTAATTCACTTTTGATGGATATATTACTTTACTTCAAGGAAAAATTAATAATAGATAATGAGCACTTATGAGTATCGTCATATGTATTCAAGTCTACGCATAACATCAATATTCATATCGATTAGGATTCATCGAATGCTAGACATTTAAATAAAATCTATATAAAATTAAACAAAATAAAAAATCAATTGTATTTGAATACAATATGTTTGTTATACTTGAATTTCCTGCAAAAAAAGAAAATAGTTATAATCAATTTTTTCTTTTTGCTTTCTAGGGTCATATAAAACTTTCAGATTTTGGTTTATGTACAGGTTTAAAAAAAGCACATCGAACTGAATTTTATCGTGATATTCAAAGCATGCGACCTCAAGATTTCAGTAATGAAATATTTTTAGTCAATTTAATTCTTTCGAATATTTTTAGCAGCGAATCCTGTTGATTCAAAACGACGAGCTGAAACGTGGAAAAGAAATCGTCGTGCATTGGTAAGAATTACTTTTACACGTATGCATTGTTTTTGAACAGCGTTTGTTTTTCTTTAAATGAAGGCATATTCAACTGTTGGTACGCCAGATTATATTGCACCAGAAGTTTTTAAACAATGTGGTTATAATCATGTTAGTTAGTTATTTTTGGATAGATATGAATAATTTTAATTTTTTTAATTTTCTATTCAAGAAAGCTGATTGGTGGTCATTAGGTGTAATTATGTATGAAATGTTAATTGGTTATCCACCATTTTGTGCAGATAATCCTCAAGAAACATTTCGTAAAGTAATGAATTATCGTGAAACATTTGTTTTTCCACCTGAAGTTCCAATATCAAATGTTGCTAAAGATCTTATTCTTAAGTATGATCTAAATGAACTTTTCTTGTAAAAATAAAATCAATTGATTTCATTAGATTCTGTACAGATGCTGATCAACGTTTAGGTTCATTAGATGAAATTCGGCGTCATTCATTTTTTATGGGTGTTGATTGGGATCATATACGAGATAGACCAGCTGCTTACCAACCACGTATAAAATCAATTGATGATACGTCAAATTTTGATGAATTTCCTGATGTTGATCTTAAATTACGTATGTTTGTTTCATTCATATTCCATGTTTTATTTATTCTAAAATATTCATTTAAACAATCATACGAAAAATAAATTTCCTCAATCGAGTTTTCTTACTAAGCAGTTTTTCTTTATTTTTTTGATCTGTTCAAAAAAATTAAGTATAAGTACTTACAAAACGTTCTGGTGAAATGTTGATTTCCACTTGAGATTAACTATTGCAGATTCTTTGCTTTGTTTTTTTCAGAGTCAAAAACGAATTGTTCATCTAAAAATTTGAGCTATTCAATACGAAGAAAAACGAAAATATATTTATAGTTTTGGCTTTGTAAAAGATTCGATGCGAGTCAGTAATTTTTTGATAGTATCTCTCGTTTCTATATGAATACGTCTGAAAAATACAACACATTCATTATCCAGTGCATTGTTTCTCTTAATTTTTTTCTTTATTTTCATCTTTTTTGACAAGATTCGATTCCAGTTGGTTTCTCACTTGTTTGAAAATTTCGTATTATTTTTCATTTTAGCTTCACCCGCAAAAGATAACGAAGTTCAAGTTCATGATTGGCTATTTATTAATTATACATACAAACGTTTTGATGGTTTAACAGCAAAACCAAAATTAAAAATGTCCGCACATTCAACAAACTGATAATAACGATCACACCAATTCTATTTTTTGTTTTGTTATAAATGAACAGTATCGTTTATAATTAAATTACATATATATAATAGAAACGTCCAAACCCGTTGTTATATTTTTTTTCTGCGTTTTGTATATAAATAGAGCATGAATAATATCCTTTGATTAGTTTTTTGTTTCTAAAGACGTTCATAAATAAAATATTTCATCAGTTTTACGAAACTCTTGATGTATGAATGTAATTGCGTAAGATTATTTTTTTCTCTTTCTATGTTATATATAGACATGTCAGAAGAAACAAAACATGACGCACAACTGATGGATAGCGACAGTGATGATTATGATGATGATATGAATTTTGACAACATCAAGCTAGAAGGTGAAACAAATAATGGAACTATTCAACAATCTATGAAACATTTTCAACCGACAAGCAAAACTTTATCAAAGTATGTTGAACAACATNTACTTAATGAATGCATTAAAAAACGCTTTGCCTATAATAAAATGTCATTAATAAGTCTATTTAGAGATTATTTCTCATAATAATGCGAGTAAATTTTGATCTTCCTTTTTCGAGCGCTAATTATACTCAAAAGAGAACTGCTTCAACAGAATTTCAACGATAGACTACATTCAGAATACAATAATACTCTAGTTGAGACTCTCCACCTTCCCGTTCTCAAACTATTAATAGCATAAATTACATCCGATTCAATAAAGACGAGAAAACTTCATCACATTCGACTTTTGACCAATCCAACGACGAATAGAAACAAGAATCACATAGAATGTCATTGTCACGGATATTTGGCTATACTTCGCAATGAATGATGAATCATTATTCAACAGAATTATAGATTATTATCAATACATTTATTGTAGAAAGATTAAGCACAAATTTTATCAGTGACGATGAATCTTCGGTTAAGCAAGTTTGAAGTACCCCTTCATGTTTTATATCCTTTAAAATCAAATGCTCTTGTTCTTGTTCGTGTGTACGTTTTTGATTAAAACAAGATCGTGGATCATAAACAGTATATTTGAAATGGCGATAGAGTTGTTTTCAATGAAATATAAGGAGAATGAAACTCATCAGATCCAAAATCTATATGATGGCTGGATTATAACACGCGACATTTTAATCACCGCCACGCAGTATCGATCTCATTGAACCTCACAAACCAGAGACTTGTTTAGTTTCCGGATTATATTAAGCAAAAGCGAACCGACCAAAAAAAAGTGCCAAGTCATTATCTCGCACGGATTTCTCGAATAAATACAGACTATCTAGAAGAAGAATTCGTTTTATCTTTAAAGTCATGTGACTTGTTTTTTGAAGCATCTTAGAAATAGTATAACCTTGATATTGGAATTGAAAATGAGAATGAGGATCCATTTACTTATGAATTCCATAAAAACGTATTTCATTTTTTTATTATGCCTGAATAACAACGTTTATTTGTTAACAAAACAAAAAATACATTTATCCTTTTCTTTTTCTTTTATCTCCACCTAACCTTTCTGCTCTTTTCTTCACGTGTTTTGGTATTTTCGTTTTTCTTTTTTCTCGTTTCTCTTCTCTTATTGCTTGTTTTCTTAGTCGTTTCGATGTTGGCGATTCATCTCGAGGTCTAACATTTCCTTTTGCTAGCGATTGTTCTTCTTGATCTTCTTTTGCTGATGCATAATCACTTGAATCATCATCATCATCATCGGAACTTGAAGAACTAGTAATACTATTTGAATCATCGTTTTCGTCTTCGAGAATTTTCGGTACTAAGCGAGCTTCCGTCATTGTTTCGTTCATTCCTAATATAGTTGATAATTGACGAAAATCTTTTGATGACGTTTCACATATATCATCTAATGTTTGTGGAATAAATATCCGTTCAAACACTCTTTCATCGACTTCGTCGGTTGTTTCATTGGCTGATCGATGTTCAGCTTGTTCCATGATTCTATCGAGATAAGCTTGTTCATTTGAATCAGTAATTGTTGGATCTGTTATATAATTGAACAATTGTTGCATTGTTAAGATTGTTTTTAGTGTATACCGTTTCGCAAAATAATCTGTTACATTGCGGCAATCCAATCGAAGAAATTCAAGAGCATTTGGATGTGCTTGCTCAACTGATTGAGAAACATCAATAACATATAATTCTTTTTTTGAATCAAGTAATAAATTAAACTCAGATAGATCCGCGTGGATTAATTTGCACTTAACGAACATTACTCGCATGTAATGAATTAATTTCAGGTAAAGTGAAAACGCTTCAGATTCATCTAATGGTACAGAATCTTTTAGTTTAGTAGCTGGCCAACCATTTTCACCTATAATAGAATTTTACAGTTCAAGCTGTTCGAAAAACAATTGAAATCTTTCAAAGTCAAGTTGAATTGCTGATACTATTAAGAGATTCAACATAACCTATGTGTTGGACTTAATACACACAGATAGTTCCTTTTGCGTAAGAAAACATTTTCAAAATTCAAATCGTGTAATCATCAAGATCATTGTTTTGTCTAAGAATCTGTAAAAAGAACTGCAGAACTTCATGTGAAAACAAAACTCCAATGAATACTAGTGTTTACTATGATGTTCCAAGGAAAATAAACGTCAGTGTTCTTTAAGATGGTCGAAACGAAACTGAATGATATGAATATAAAGAGCAATGCATTCGAATAGTCTAATTACACCACAGATTTTAACTGTTAACCAAATAAATAAGAGTTCTACCTTGTTTTTCACGATAGCTTATCAATATTTTGGACTATTTTATTAACGAAATTGAGTCTTGCTACTGACCAGTATACTCATATTTCAGGTAAATTCTAAAAATTGGAAAATCTAAGACGGTAATACAATCAAATTTAACAATTAATATTCAAAATTTTCAATAGCATTGACACAATTCGAAATATAACAACATTTCGATCTATCTACTAAAACTCTTCACTGAAGTGTGTCTTCAATTTACATTGAACTTTTCATTATAATGAGTCTTACCGATAAATTCCATAACGAGCACATGATTTTTAAGTGCAATGGGCTTTGGACACGGAATTCCATTGGTATATAAACGTGATAAATTTCTGTACTCTTTTTCTGCCCATAATCGAACCATTTTTCTTGGATTATGTCTTGAATAACCGTGTCGAAAACGATATTCACCGGTAACATATCTATCTCGGTCCTTAAAGACAAGTATTGATGTTTTGAAAACTTTAATAGCTCGATGTTCGTTGTTATTTGTTTTTGCATAATAAACATTGGCTTCTTTTCCGGTCGATATACAACCATTAATTTCGTCGACTAAGCCTTGCTGAAGAAATTTAAATAGAATTAAACGTGTACGTGGATCAAGAACTTGTTCAACAGTTGCACGATCATGTTTATCTTTCGAACGATATTTTCCATCATCGACATGACCTGTGCGAGGTGAATATGGACTCACATCAATTTTGTCGACATATCTTAAATCAATTAGTTGCGTTTTCATTTTGTTTCATATGAAAATAAGTAAATGTTGTTCAACATACTTTGATAAAGTTTTGCTTGTCGGTTGAAAATGTTTCATAGATTGTTGAATAGTTCCATTATTTGTTTCACCTTCTAGCTTGATGTTGTCAAAATTCATATCATCATCATAATCATCACTGTCGCTATCCATCAGTTGTGCGTCATGTTTTGTTTCTTCTGACATGTCTATATATAACATAGAAAGAGAAAAAAATAATCTTACGCAATTACATTCATACATCAAGAGTTTCGTAAAACTGATGAAATATTTTATTAATGAACTTCTTTAGAAACAAAAAACTAATCAAAGGATATTATTCATGCTCTATTTATATACAAAACGCAGAAAAAAAGTATAACGGGTTTCGACAGGTGTGAGCTTGGGTCACTTGTGATGACGTAGGTAGAGCGGGTGGAGGAAAGACTGACACCGTCGCGCACAGTTCTGCATTTATCCACACGCACAACCACACCTATAGTATTGATTCTTCTACTTTCTTGCTTTCATAGCTCAGCCACATTACTCCAAGAGAATTCGTTTGTTTAATTATACAAAAAAGTCTTCATCGAAATGATATAGCCGACTGCATGCCGAATGTATTTGAAAAAATAATCAAATAAAATAACCTCGATGATTATTTCTTTAATTGAAACAACCACCATTCAAAATCAAGGATCGACTATTTTTTGAATGCGAGGGACAACACCATTTAATATGTGCTCTATTGTGAAAAATGTATCAGTTTTTGAAACGTATATCTTTTTGTTAAAAAGTTCGACAACATTTGTGAATAGTGTATTGTTGAATTCAAAGACGGTGTCAAATATTGGTAAAACACAACAAATCGTATTCCGGCACTGTCACTGATGAAATTTCTGAAAATGCCATGAACATACATGTTTCTATCATATTTTCTCGTCTTTTTTTGCGAGAATAAATACAATTATTTATATGAAAGAAATAAATGCACTTCTTTTTAACACTGTCTTCAGTCCAACTCGCAGAACAAAACAAGAATTCAAGATCTGTTCCAAGAGAGATATAAATCGAATGGAATCATCGGCCTAAATGATATTCAAAGCAAAATTCATAATGCCCACTAAAATACTCAAAATGCTAATTGATAGATTTTTGAATCAACTAAACGAAATTAATTGAAACGCATATAAAATTCAAATCTAACTATCGCAGTGCTAATAGGTTTTGGTTGTCTCTTTCCTTATTTTTATGAATGTCACATATCATTAAGGAGCAAATATATGGCCAATCCAAATTTGATCCAAAGACAAAAATTACAAATCAGTGTAGGCGAGGATGTAGAAGTAAGGCTGAAGGTAAGCGAGGTTTCTCTTTCCACTTCCTTTTATTTTCAACAATTCTATCTCCCGACATTTTTACTCTCGATATTAATTGGGTGAGCCAAATATATTTCAACAATAGGCTTGGAATATCTATTGAATTTTGTTTCATGAACTCTATTAACTTTTCAAGAACCAAACGATCTTATTGTACTAAAAACTTTATGTTTGATAGTAAAAAAAACACAGGACGTTTGGAACCAAGTTTCTATATCCGTTTTCGTCTCGATTTAGAAAGAATAATTCCCAAATTTATTCGCATCAAATCTGAGAAATATTAAATTCTTATTTTTTAAATTTATCCAGTCGATGATTGCCACTTGTTTGGCCATCTTTCTGGAACTTTGCTTTGATCTATGTGATTTATAGTAAGATTTGCTATAAAATCATAGATAGTTTAACTACAATTTTAGCTTTAGCTCGAACAACTTGTTTTTTCATAGTGTCAGTCACGATGCTTGGGATTAGCTGCTTCCACTCATTTCCAACAGTAATACATAAAACAAAATGTCAAAGACAGCTTCATAGAAGCAACTAGTTAATAATAAAGTGATCACTGCATTGAAAAACAACTAATCTGTAAAAGGAATGAACAACAGGCAAGTGCAAAAATAGCATGATAAACTAAAGACAGATATTTATTCAGGCTACATACATCTTCTCATATTTACAGAATATCATCCCAAGCAATGCTAACGTGAAGTGTGTATAATTTGCAGAGGAATTTCAACATAGTTGCGTCAAACAATGGCAAAGAACGCAATCAATAGTTACTGTGAATAAATGTTCTAGTTATTTAAGTATACCAACAATTCGATCCCAGAAAATTGAGCTTCCTAACAACTAACGATAAGCTGCCAGCAATATATTCTAGCATAAAAATCAGTATGAAAATTAGTTTGTATGTGATAATCTATATTAACATCAACATTTGTGCAAAATTTAGTTTGTCTGTTTCAATATAATTCTCGTTGTCAGGATAACGGAAGCAACCAATAATGAGCTAGATTCACTTGTTGGCCACAGAGCTGAACAAATATTGAGTTTCGCAATTAGGACTTCAACTATGCGCTTGTTCAGCTCTATAATCAAAAGCAAATACTGAATATGATTCATTTAAGATATCCATCATATTAGATATGTTAAACGAAAATAAGAGAGAAGTGAAATCATTCTTTCATGCATTCATCTATAGACAATTTAGACTAGACACAAAAGTATATCGCTATTTTTTCATTGACGATGTCGGTCAAATAAAAAAAATGAGTATATATATATTGACATTTCTATTAGCTAAATAGAACATACAGACAAAAATGAACATGAAATGTGAATGCATTCATTTGAATGATTTACCTGATGAAATTCTTTTGATTATTTTAAAAAAATTGATCAATACCGAAGTTCTTTACTCTTTAATAGGTGTTAATAAACGATTAAACAAAATTGTATATGATTCTAATTTTACTAGTAGAGTAGCATTGATAAAATATTCGTCAGATGATACTATTCATCCATTACCTTGGCAAATACTTGATCGATTTTGTTTACAAATTTTACCTGAAATTCATCACAAAATCGAATGGCTTGATATTGAATCATCATCTATAGAACATGTTCTTCTTTCTAGAAATTATTCAAATTTATCTGGGCTTGGCTTATATAATCTTGGCATAGAGGAAATAAAACAACTCTTAACAGGTAAGATATTTTACTTGAACTGTCATATGTCTTGCCTAAGTGAAAAATGTATGACTACTTTAATTTTATCGTACAATGAAATTTGATTAATATTAAAGATGACTTTTTCTCTCGATATATTTATATTTTTTTCCTTCAGATAAAAGTCTTTTAAATGATATAGTTAAAAGTCAGATTGTATCACTTGCTATTGGCATTAGTGCGTGCAAAATACCATATGTAACATCAGATATAATTAAACATCTATTTACACAGATCTTTATTATGTTCACCGATTTACAATGTTTAACATTTGTTCCATATTCTACATGGCATAATCAGATGATATTTGATATTTCCTCTTCAACAGTTTTCTCATCGAATCTATTGGAATTACATGTCAAATTGCATAATTTCACTGATTGTCTTTACCTAGTTGATGGTCGTTTCAGCCAACTCTGTACACTTGATGTTAATATTTTTATGATTAATTCGTCACATTCAGTAATTAATAATCAAGTAAATTATTTTGATGTAATATCGAATGTAAACAAGTCGATAATATATTCTTTTTAAGGAAAAATTGCCCAATTTAAAATGTTTTTCGCTAGAATGCCATTTGGTTGGGGATGTTTATTCAGAATTAATCGTATCACTTCTACAGCGAATGCCAAATTTAGAACAACTCAATTTGTATTTCTTGATCTTCGGTAGAAAAACATTTATTGAAGGAAATAATTTGAAAGATATTATCAATTATATGCCACAATTGAATAAATTCATGTTTAATATTCGTTCAAATGTTTCTACTGAGAATCAAACTAATTTACCATCAAATGAAGATATTCAATATACATTTAGAGATTATAAAAATCAAATTATTTCTTCTATTGATTATTTTCCAAAGATACAAGACGTTGAATGTCATATTTATTCGCATCCATATGTATGGAAAGATTATAAGAATGTTACAAATAGTTTCTCCGGTGGATTATTTAAATGTGTTCGTGAAGTATTATTATTTGACGAACATCCGTTTGAACATGAATTTTTTCTTCTTATTAGTCAATCATTTCCATTCTTGAAAAAAATATCTATAGTTAATGAAACAAAACAAAATAATCAAAGATCTAGAAAATCGAATAGTGACGATGAGAATTTCTCAATTATTGAATATCCTCATCTTATTGTACTTGATTTATATGAAGCTCATAATGATTATGTCAAACAGTTTCTAATTGATACTAAAACATGTTTGCCAAATGATGTCTATCTTTGCATCAATCATAAAAGATTGAAAAAGATAACAAATAATTTCAAAAGATATGAAACTCGAATTAATTGTTCAAAAATACGTTATCCTGTGGACTAATGAAATTTGCCGATTGCCAACATATTTCAAAGACTATTTTTCTTATGGATGTGTAATTATAATTGAAATAAAATTCCTTTCTACAGATTGAACACATTAAAAGTAGAGAAAGTTGTTTTATATATTACATTAAAAATCATGAAAATTTATTCATTATATATCAAAATGATCAGACAAAGAGAATAACCGGATCTTGAACCTTTTTGTTTTCCCTTGAGTATGATCGATAGGCAGATATGATATAAGATGTTATCTAGTATAATTTTCATCTAAAATCTTGATATCTCATGTAGAAGTTTTCTGTTATATGTTCTTGAACGTAGGTATTCGATTGAATTTACAAAGATAAAATTTTTCCATGGTTTTTAATAAATCAATATGATCTTAGTTTAACAGCATTTTTCTCGACTAGCATGAAATTTGTGATGGCAATATTCCCTAAAAGCTTACTTTGTCAAAGTTCACTGTTTTATCCTCAAAAAAAAAACGATAAAAATAAATGTCTCACTTTTTCATTACTCCAACATCTTTTGAAATGCATATTCAAAGAAATAAATTTCAAGATAGTCTTCAATAAAGCTGCAGGCATCAATTTGATGGTTACATGTCAAGCACATGCACATTTTCTAACGATGTAAAAACAAAATCCTACGTAATCTCGAACCAAACACACGATGTGATGATGAGTTACGCGTTCGCAAAGCCTACTGTCAGATAAATAAGTATATATTTCTGATAAAAAAATTGGATTGTTGTTAGCTCTTAAAATATTTATGAACATTATTGTCTAATACAATCGAAATAGCGACATGAAAAATATTGTATAATATAACCATTCAACTTACAAAGTTTTTGTTTTGGAAATTAAGGAATATGGAACAACCGATCAATTACAAAAGCATATAACACATTTTTTTATATCTTTGAAACAATATACAATTGTTTCTGTAAGAAAAAATTTGAAGATATGTTTTTCACATACTTGTTTTTATGAACATGCTCTTCAAATCGTTTTATATTTTATTTGATTACACCTATTTTGTTTGAATATTAACCGAGGTTCTTTTTTCATTTAAACAGTTTCGTAATTTAAAGTTTTTGATTTCTAAAGTTATGACATGTAATAAGATTCACATTTTTGTTTAACTGCATTCACACGAAATGATACTAAAAGCACATCAATCTATAAATCATCCGACATTCTCGATCTTTAATCGCATCGTATTTTGAATAATCTTTTTCTCTTACGATCTTTCTCTGGCAGTAGTTATTGCATTTCTTTACAAATGACTGCTTTCATATATTAATGTGATCTTCCTGATATATATTTGTAATTACTTTATTGTCTGAACAAGTCTCATTACTAATATTTTATATTGAAACTTATTCATTTTCAAATGTTAAAATATTTAAAAAAAAAATTTAGCTTGTTTTTCATCTGTGAATACCTTGCTTGTTCTTCCCTGTGGCTCAAATGGAGATAAAAAAAAACTGAGCAATGCCAGACTACCAAATGATGCAGCACGCATATAAATAGGTACACTTGATAACAGATCGGCATATGTTCCCGCCAAAGCCGCAACAACACCCATCACTCTGTTATATGCTACTGTTATAGCACTGCCTATACTTCGATTAGCTGATGGAAGTACTGATGTAGTGTATGCATATAAATTACCATAGAAAATGTTCAGGCAGACACTGATATGATACAAGTGAAAGCTAAACTTTGAGTGGCTATACAAACTACCGTATATGGAAAGAGAAAAGTCGTTGTAAGAAGCGCCCCAATCACAATAGTTTATCGACGTCCTAGAAAGCGAATTTCCACCAAACCGCCAGCCTTCATTGGACCGAATATAATAGAAACAGTAATAATGGTATAATCACGATTTCTTATTCAGCAGATGTATATATGTATTTTCTAGGTGTTCAGATATACTAACTGCGAATTTTCTATACAAAAATTAGAGGAAACCCGTTTTTTTTCATTTCAAAAACCGTCAATAAGATTAATACATTAATGTGACCAAACAGAAAATAATAGTCGAATTTTACGAACTATAGAAGTAGAGCAGTTTAATTAACGTGGAGACATCTTTTGATTCAAAATAGACTTGAGAAAGTAAACTAAACGAATATTTCTTGTCTAGTATTCGTTCTTTACTCTGACGTCATCTACTTTTGTATTTGTTCATAAAGGACTAAATTATCATCATCTATTTGCTTCTTTATTTCACATCAGATTATTTTTTAGACTATCATGTCTCGACCTAGATTTCTCTCTTGTTTATTAGGAGTCTATGAAAATTTAATCAGTCATCATGATGATAAAATGATTATATTAGTACATTGGTGTTTTCTTAACAAGTATTTCTGCGTCATCGAAGATGGCAAAGTAAAACATGTTTTAAAATGTTGTTTTCATTGCTCTTTTCTTTAGGAAAAAGATATATTTACGTTCAAGAGAGATGATCCTAGTGGAATAGTAATTGATTATAAAAAGGATGATCTTTTCATTACCACGAAGCATTCTTTTTCCGGAGCTCAATACACGGTCGAACTCTCAGTACATAGTTTTTTATAATTTAATGTCAAAACATGTCTTATTTTTTAGACAACAGGAAGCCAATTTCACGCATCGTTTAGTATTAAAAAAACAAAAGTTGTGAACGAAAATGGGTAAAATAATGGATTCCTTTCAAAAAATATTTAATAAAATATTTCTTTTAGTCAATTCGCTGATAATATTAATTATTTAATTGCTAATATCAATTCAAAAATCGATGGTGCTCTTACTCGTTTAAAGGTTCAAAATAATGGGCGTAATCCTGCAAAAAAATTTGATCCAAACGTGTATTTCGAGATATCGGCCAACAATATTCCAATTGGTCGAATTATATTCAAAGTGAAGTGCAAAAATATTTTTTGGAAAATTAGGAATTCATGATATCCCTATGCGAACGTTTTCTTTCGTGTTCTTGACCTGTGCAGACTTCAAGATTTGTTGATAGAGCATGGTTTTCTTGTTCACGAGTCTTAAGAAAGGCAAACGCATGAGACAAGAAATGTTATTGTGATCCTGATGAAAAAAACTAGATATTTTTTTTAGAAGTTTAAATGTTATTCCAGGAGACAAACATTCGATCTAGAACGTGATTGGAACGTAAGCCTAATCTTTTTTCCATAGAGTGCTTTTTTTACGTGTGCGCATGAGCAAGAAGATTGTATTAGGAATTGATATCTCTCTTTTTTTTTATAGCTATTTGATGCTGTTGTACCAAAGACCACAGGTAATTGGAAAAAATTCTTTTGATTGTATAGGAGTTTATTATTGTTTTTAGCCAATTTTCGAGCATTGTGCACAGGTGAAAAAGGTTTTGGTTATAAGGGATGTCGATTTCATCGTGTAATTCCTCAATTTATGGTTCAAGGTAAAGAATTTAATTTATAATTTTTTTTCTATTATTAATTATTTTATTTGATAGGTGGTGATATAACCAATCAGTAAGTTAATAATAAAATGAAATTGTAATTAATCGATACAATGATTTTCTTTTTTTAAAATTAAAATAGCGACGGTACGGGCGGTAAAAGGTAAACTGATCATTTAAGTTTAAATCATAGTTTAAATACGTTTTTTTTTCATTAGTATTTATCCTGAATTTTATTTTGCTGATGAAAATTTCAAATTGCAACACACAAAACCCGGTGTTTTATCAATGGCTAATTGTGGCCCAAACACGAATCGTTCTCAGTTCTTTATTACTGCTGTTCCAACACCGTGGCTCGATGGAAAATCTGTAAAATCTCTCAATTCTCATTCTTTTATTGTTTGCTTCTCTGTTTTCAAAGGTTGTGTTTGGTGAAGTGGTGCAAGGAATGGATGTTGTTCAAAGAATCGAAAGTTATGGTATGTCATCGGAGTTATTTTTCTTAGCAGAATCTACTTTATTTATGTTAAGTTTAGGCACAAACTCGGGTACTCCAAACGCCGATGTCGTCATTACAACATGTGGCATTATTCAATAAACACAAATAGAACTTTGTTGAAAAACCTTGCGGTGCCAATAGACTATTGTATTGTTAGAATCATAAAAACTATCACGACTGTTCTTGTTGGGAATATCTCTCAGAAAAAAGACTTTAATATTCAACATCACAGTCAGCACTATTTTTGAATAAACGCGTTAACCATATATAACAGTATAGAATCATTTACACACATGATAACGTGAGAGAATAATAACTTGTACATAGAGGTTATCAAAAATATGAAAAATAAATTTAATAGATAATCGGTCAAGAGAGAAAATGAACATTATTGGCATCAATAATTGGAAAAGCTTATTTTTTAGCAAATAGTGATATGATTTCTTTTGGGAAGAAGAGAAAATGTGTATACTATAAATACTATATGTATGTATAAAATAAAGACAAAGTCAAACATTTATATCTTCCAAAATAGAAACAACTTGTGTAAGTTCATCTTTACTTTTAATATAATCAATATTTATCATAACTTAAATTTAAATACAGTAGAATGATCATATCTATTATTTATTTTTAATTTTTATATCAATACCATCTTTCCAGATTTCTATCAAATAAATAAATAGTCTACTTAATGAATGCATTAAAAAACGCTTTGCCTATAATAAAATGTCATTAATAAGTCTATTTAGAGATTATTTCTCATAATAATGCGAGTAAATTTTGATCTTCCTTTTTCGAGCGCTAAT